ACAAACTTGAATATGTTTCTCTTCCACTCACTTCAGCTTGTCCATACAGGTATCTAGATGGCTCAGATCGTCATTGCTCTTCTCAACATGCCCTTATACATCATCTTAGTCACGTACCTGGCGTGGCTGACCTTATCTACTGGCTCTTTAAGTCAGATTCCTTGTTCTTTTCCTTATGCTTCTGATTTTCTCACTTCATGCTTGCCACCGCCATCTGAATCACACCCGGGTGTGGACTATCAACAAGCCTTGCAGGTGGAATTTGATGGGCTTGATAGCCTGCTCTTAAGCGGGATGGAAGCTATGTCTCTGTCCCAGCATATGATGCAAGCCCGTTTTTCTTTGGACAATCTCATTGTAGTCATGCAGGCCAGTATTCTTGGTTCTCGTGATATGCTATCCGAGGAGTTATTGAAGACCAGTATGGAAGCCAAAGACATTGCTGTCAACCTCCAGCAATTTATGCACGGAGTTCAAAGCACTGCAGACATGTGGGTGTCTTGAATACCTGGATTGTCATGCCTGACTTTGTCCTACCGCAGATAACACTAGTAGGGAACACTGTTTCTCATCATTTTTGCTTTTCTCATGTTTTGCACTGCATTTTCATGGTGTAGTGATGTCTTGCTGATCTTTTAATAGGTGAAACTTATGCTGGTCCCAAAGTATACCTTGGACCGAGATCCCTGGACCGCCAGCTGAATAGTGAGTGGTTTCTCCGTGGACACCTTCTTCACCCTGAGCTGATTGGCCAGAGACATGGACATGAAGTCTGCTAGTGATCCAGTATCCACTAGAGCTTGGGCTGGACATCCATTTATGTGGACAATGATGACCATTGGCTTGGGGATCAGGTGTTTGAAATCACGCGTGGTTGCCAAGTTCCATTGGATTGCAGAGTAAGCACCCTGGGCCACATGTTGCCTGCTGAGTTCAACCAAGTGAAACTGATTCTTTGTTTCAGTGAACTGAATGTCCGGCATTGCGAACAACTGGTGCTCCACCTCCTCAAGAGTGCGGTCTAGTGGGCTCAACAGCTCAGTGTAGAAGAGCTAGTGGTGATAGTATCCACCATTCAGCTCCTGTTCCATCATCAGATGGTCCAACCTCCAGTAAACTCTAGTCAACCTCTTTAGGTATCACCCAGTGATATTCAGCTTAGGTAGGTGTCATTGGGTCTAGGTGAGTGAATCCCTGGGAAGTTTGGCTCACTGTTCAAGATATCACAGATCTTATCTGAGATCAGATCACCCATAGGGTGCCTTATATGCATTAATTGGACAAAGGATCAACACACATCTAGTGAGACGGATAAGTATCATAATGGATCCATTAAGGCTTCCGGATATCAAATGTGTAGAGTAACAGCTAATCCGGATCGGATCCAAACTAGAAACTAACGGATAAGGATTGTCTGAAGAGAGAGGCGGATTATATAGGCTATAGGATTCAATCCTAAGTCTTGGATTAGACAAGAGTAGAAGACTCAAGTCCAGATGAGTGCAATCTAAGATGATATTTGAACTGAAGTACTACAGCACATGTACAAGGGTTTATATACTATGGATAACTAACAGAATGATCAATAAGCAAAGGTGCGAGGCGATGTACGAAGTATAAGCAAAGTATGATCAAAGTGTATTGGCAAGTTGGATAGATCATGAATCATGAATTGGAAATGAGCATAGTTAAACAGATCAGTAAGCATAGTGGAAGTAAGGATTACCAGTGTACAGGAATACTGAAAGGAGATGAACAATAGTTAGAGTTATATGAACAGGAAATGAAATAAGAATTGGATCAGATCTGTGGACTGGACAATGGATATATCCAACAGATCTGGATCGGATCTTCGAATCTGTACCCAGATAGGTATATGACACCACCTCTGTCTTTGGACCTGTTAGTTTCTAGTTTGGATCTGATCTGGATTAGCCGTTACTCTATACATTTAATATCCAGAAGACTTAATGGATCCATTACAATACTTATCCATCTAGCTAGACGCAATACTTCAGTACTCTGAAATAAGTCTTAACAGGAGGCGAGTGATTTGGAAGTGAGCCACAGATATATGCCATCAACGATTGATCGCTGTTGCGTAGCTCAAGTTGATTCCTAACTGTTGTGAGCCCATAGTTATGAGGTAGAGAAAAGTAGCTACTCACCTTCTCACTAATGAGTTCAGTATAAAGATATATGAATCGGTGGGCTTCACTCCACTGACATAAAACTCTCAAGCTTAGGCATGTCAGCTTCATCAGCAGTTTGAATAATGTAACATTACCTTTGACCATAGGCTGTCAACATTATATACCTCCTCTGCTTTTGCTACTAGCTCACGTTCATGCTCGGTCCATACTGTATCTGCTGCACTTTCCTGAGGCATTGGAATTTTGCTATTCTCCAACTGGCTTCCATTGTATAATGTGTTGATGACTTCTGCAGAAATATGGACTGAAGGATCTTGCTGAGGAACTTCACCCTTGTTGATCCCAGGGTGAGGGGGACACTCTACCAATCTAAATGTCCTTATTGGATTTCATCAGTCATATCAAAGATGTCAAATATATTATATACTTGACAATGAAGGAGTTGAAGAAAAGGTCCGAAATGGCAATGTTGGTGCAGTCAATCAGAGAAGGAAGATTATGTGTCGCCAGAATAGAGGGTAGAAACAAGGGATCAATTGTGATGGGAAATGTACCCCAGAGCATATGAATGACTGGGATTATCTTGTCAATGACGGTGTGTCCAATCACAGTATCTGCTTTGGGGTAAGTCTAGAAAACATGAGGCATTGCAGATGTCCTTACCAGGATCCGGGTGCCTCAAGGCATTTCCAAGATGGCAGGCAAGGTCCCCTGGCATGGAAGCCAGTGATGTCCTGAGGCCTAGACCCACCACCAAGACAAGAAAGTAAACAGTACTACCACCCACCAGAGCTGCAAACTTAGTCCCCATTGTATGCCAATGCTGGAAGGTGCGGTAACTGGGCTTGATTTGAAGGGGGGTGATTTCAGCATCGTATAACTCTTGCAGGGTTCTAAATGTTGATGAAGATTGGCACGTGGTGGTAGAGCACCCAACTGCTGGTACTATTATGAGGGAGGGAAAACATGATGAATGCATTTGTTGTGTCTTCTCTTCGCCAAACTGCTAGCCAGTACTTGTTCTGATTACTTGAGAGCTGGTGTAGGCACATCCTTGGGGACTGGTGTGAAAAACACAACCTGACTAGGCACTTGTAAAAGTACTCAGCCAATATATGTCTAATGCTCTGCCTATGCTGCTATACTTGCAACAAAGATGCAAGAATGTTTGACCCAAGGGAATAGCTACTAAGGACAACTTAAGATAGAAAGACCCAAAAGAGCACTAATGCACGGGAACAAGCGGAAGTCAAGGAAAGTGGACACTGAGTCAAAGGAGGGTAATGGATAGCAAGTGAGATCAAGGTATTGATTGCAAGGTAAGGAAAGTCAATAGGGGCTATAGAGCGCAACTACAGGGGTGACTACTTCTAGTAACACCTAAGAGGAAGGAATTACAGTAGAAGGGAAGTAATGTCAAAGTAGTCACCATAGGCTTCTTATACTAGTAAACTATACCATCTCAGACTCGGAAGGGATAGGATGTACATGTAATAAGACTGTAGCACTTGTTACAAACTCGAGGCAAGGCAAATTACATACTGGCAAATTACATACCAATGAGGTAGGATGGACAATGGATGGATTCCGACATTCTGAGTGGATCCTAGAGCACAAGAACAGTGCACTGGATAAGCACTAAGCACAGGAACAAGCACTAGATAGAGCGGATATGCACTAATGCACCTGTAGACACATTGCTGGTAGATCTGATAGTGCTATCAGCGCGGGAATAGCGCTGCAGGGGTGTGCGCGCATAGCACGGGAAAGTGCAGACTAGTGTCGGACAAAGGTTATGGCTGAGACAAGTGAAGACTGAGGGGAATAGTGAATGACATGAGGTCTAGGTTTGGTCCACCCAATCAAGGCTTATGCAGGCATCAGGAAAACATTGCTTTCCTTATTTGCTCCATATTGTTCCTTATTTGCCTTAATTCACACAATAAGGTAAATTTAAGGCTGTTTGTTCACATTTAAAATAAGGAGAATAAGTAGGTCCATCTCCTTAACATAAGGAGTTTTCCTGATTTTAAAGAACATAAGGCAGTCAACAGGATGTCAAAAGTGTAAGGTGTTCCATAAAAATCTATCCATTTTCTACCACTGACTTGGTTTGAACTCTCAACCATGCTTATCACCAGCTGAGATCACATGATCAATTCTCAAACTTTTGACCAGCATTTACCAGTAGGCTACAGGACCTTATACTCACATAGGCAGCAACCATATTATGCTTAACTTTCTTAACAAGAGTTGTAGTCGGAGTCAAGGTGAGTATATTGGTAGCCTTATCTTGTCGATTGGTTATCATTTGATTGAGATATAAGCTAAAGAAATCCGAAACATCAGTGATAATGAAAAAATGAAAGTTGTTATGCTTACTATGTGCTACTTTGCTAGAGAAGCGACTCGTCTTCACCAAAATACGAAACCAAACATTGGAGTTTCCCATTTTGGTGAAGATGGTTATCTGAGTTTGAGAGAGTTGACGACTTAGACGCAGTTTTGATGACTATGCCACATTGGGGGGGTTTTGGTCTGAACTTGTTTGTATCGCATGTAGTGCTGAACTCTGATTGCTATGGTATGTGCGAAGTGATTGAACAACAAGTTTAAGAGCTAAGTACCAATGCGAGGAGAAGTCACATGACTACTAATATCGCAATCAAGGTCTCAAAACTTGTGTTGATCGAGAGCAGAGGGAAGAGCTAGAGTCAGCGACGATGTGAAGAAGAAAAGACTGAGAACCTCGAGTGTGAGGTAGTTGAGGCGAGAAAGAGAAGAAAACACAGTGCAAACCATGAACGGTGTAGCTACAACAGCTGTGCTTGTGTGAAGTGCTCACACTCAGGTGTGCAAAAGGAAGAGAGGGAGTATAGAGTCAATCTTACATGTTAAGGCCGTACTCAAGAGGTATCGGATCCGAAGGGCATTGGCCTCAGCTCGTGCACTGTGCCCCTTTCCCAAGTCTTGCCCCATATTTCAGAGTACTGAAGTATCACGTCTAGTAGGACAGATAAGTATCATAACGGATCCGTTAAGGCTTCTGGATATCGAACATATAGAGTAACAGCTCATCCGGATCGGATCCAAACTAGAAACTAATGGATGAGGACTGTCCGAAGACAGAGGCAAAGATACAGACTATATGAGTCAATCCTAAGTCTTGGAGTAGACAAGAGTATCGTACTCAAGTCCAGACGGATACCGGAGGGATCTAGAGTCCAGACGGAATGAGTGCAATCTAAGATGATATTCGAACTGATCTACTACAGCGCATGTACAAGGGTTTATATACTACGGATAACTAACAGAATGATCAACAAGCAAAGGTGCGAGGCTATGTACGAAGTATAAGCAAAGTATGTGCACAGTGTATTGGTATGTCGGATGGATCAAGTTAAAGCAGATCAGTAAGTATAGTGAATCAGTAAGCATAGCGGAAGTAAGGATAACCAGATTACCGGTGTACAGGAATACCAAAAGGTGATGAACGATAGTTAGAGTTATATGAACAGGAAATATCGGATCTGGATCGGATCTGAGATCCGGATATATGGTATATGACATTACACCAATATTCTAAGAATGCCCGAGATTTCCAACAGCCTTGGATGGCCACAACGTCAGGAGGAACTCCTCTGAGGAGGAGTTCCATTGCACCTCCAATTCTAAAACAATGGCCTGTTAGCTCTAACAATCCAGCTCCCTTCCAAACTTGGTTGCAGCGTGCAAGGAACCATGGACGAGTCATGGGTGCCCACCCACCACTAGCGGTCTCAAAGGCAAATGAAGGAGCTTGGGGGGGTATGATTGCATTGGCTGATATGTGGTGGTTGAGAGCAGACATGGGGTTCGTCAAGTTGTCGACTCGAGACAAGATGATTTTGGCACCGGTGCTGAGTGGTGTTTTTGACCAGGGAATGGGGAATGCTGACCAAGATATGCTGTTGGCGGGAGACCTGTGGGTTATATTGGCGGAACGGGCAACATGGCGGGAGGGGTCAAAGGAATTAATGGAGCTCATGATTAGTTCTCCGAGTCTACAAATTGGTGTGAGTAACACAAGGTGAAGATGTATGAATAACTAACCTACAACAAGACCAAAAGGCGACAGAAGCGACTGCGAAGATGGAGGCATCAAATGCGTTTGATAGATCAAGATGATGGTAAAGCACGTGCATGTGTTCGAGTGTGACTGGTGGTCTATGAGGGCATTTTGACGACTCTGGGACTAGTTTCTTCACCCCCAGCTGTGGACATGTGTAGTAAGGCATGACCATACCATGGTGCACTATGCATATTGTGCCACAAGTGCAGGCCAGAGAGCCAATTCTCAACCGTTGTTGTTGCAATTGGCCAGCCCAAGAAGCAATGAAGAGAGCAAGAAGATTGTCTGATGCTGGCATGCGGCATGACTCTGGGATACTCTGAGAGTTGCAGAACTGATGAAAGCGAAGTAAACCAGCACCATAGTTTTCTCGTGTTATCGGTTCGACAGAAACTAACAAGATGTTGAAAAGCTGCATGATATCGCCGAGAGTGAAATCTCTGACGAGTTCTGAGTGAAAAGTATTCGAGATTGGTGCCGTCCAATGGCATAAATGATCTCTTGCAAGAACATGTGGTCTGAAAGAAGATGGTGCGATTTTGCAACCCATCAGCCTTATTCTGGGCGGATTCAACATAAGTGAGGATGTGGGTGACGTTTGAGCACATTGCAATAGCTTCAGAACATCAAATGCAGAGGTTGACTTAGAAGTTGTGGCTGTGGCCGCGTTGGAAAGCCCCGATAACTCCTTCGTTATCAGAGTGAATCAGGACGCATGCATCCTTCCATCCTAGGTCAAAGAGAGTTAGAATAGCAAGTTCTATTGCGACTGCTTCCAACCAACCAATGTCTCTCCCTTGGCCTTTCCAATTGCTTTGCAGGGTCCATGCATTCCATCTTCCTTCCAGAGTCACACCGATACCCCAGTCTGTCAATGTGTTGACCCAAAGGTCGAGGTCTTGTGGAGAGCTTCTCGGGACTAAGCTGTGAGGTACCAGTGCTGAAGAAAAGAGCATTAAACCACCATTTTAGGTCAGAGACAACTGAAGGAGGGGGATAACGTGAACTGAAGCAAGATGGAAATGATGAAATAAAAGTGCTAAGGTTCCATAAGTATGAATGGCCTCTCAGGATGACGAATGTGATATGAGACAATGTGCCATTGATACTCATAGCTTCCTTCAATGAGATACACCCCCCTGAAGCGAGACATGACAGGATGTCTGCGAGTTTGCATAAATACTTTGTGCATTTCTCATTGGGTAAGGTCACTGTGTGCAGGACGAGGTCCCAAAGTAAACCTAAGTAGATGAATAGTGACACAAAATCACGCCACTTGTGAGGGTGCCATGGGACTCCGAGAGGCTTGGATCTGGCATATATGTCAGTGAGTCTGTGATGGTAGAGAAATGGAGCCAAGGATCCGTCAGGAAGGATGGTGCCTCCGCTGTAAGCATAGCGAAAAAGGGTGTGATCATCTACCCATTTCTTTATAGGACCAAAGTCCATGCATTGAAGGATATCCACTGTGGCATCAGCTACATGCCCTTGGATTTCTCTGGCCGTGGAGAGATTAAATGGGAAAATGTGGTCGATGAAAAGATTGCCATTGACCTCGACGACAAGGAAACATTTGTGCTTAGGCCACATGGGGATTGTGTGATAAGCTGCCTCTATATCTAGAGTGGCTGCTTGGGTGCCAGCAGGAGTGCAAGCAACCTGCTTAAGATATTCTGGGAAGGATTTCCCTATTCCAACATTCATCTCTCCATGACCCCTGATGTCCTTCACCAGCTGTATCAGGGAATATTCAAATACATGGTTGCCTGGTGTGATTACTTCCTGCACCCCTTAGAGTTAGATTCTAGGATGAAAGTGCTCCCACCCTGCTTTTTGGGGTTTGTCATTTCCAGAATGGATGGAGCGAGCTCTCCCAGATCTCTGGTAGAGAGAGAAAAGAGATGGCACACATCTTACTGGGATGCTTAGTAGGAAAGGTTCCTAGAAGGGTCATACTTGCCTATCACTCCTTACTAGACTTCATCTATTTAGCCCAGTACCCCACCCATGACAATCACACCCCTAGTAGGCTATCTTCAAGATGCTTTGGACACGTTTCACAAACACAAGGCAGTGCTTATTGAGCTGGGCATACGTGACCGCTTCAATATTCCCAAAATACACAGCCTCACCCACTATATCAACTCTATATGCATGTTTGGTGCAATGGACAATTACAATACTGAGGCTTTTGAGTGCCTCCATATTGATTTTACCAAGGATACCTGGAGGGCTACCAATACAAGGGATGAGCGCCCACAAATGGCTTCCTGGCTGGATAGGTATGAGAAGGTGTCATCTTTCCAGCTATACTTGGATAGTCTAGGCAAAACACCTAACTCAGGTGAAACTAATCCCCCACCTCATATATCCCTAACAAAAAGGCCCCATCATTATGGTAAATTGCTTCAAAATATCATAGAGTCCCATCACTGCCCAGGACTGATAAGGACCTCAAAAATTATCTTAATCAATTGCAGAGAAGGGATATAGGTGAAGGTTTGGGACATAATAAATTGGAGATGATGCAGCTTCCATTTGAAAAGCTTGACATATACCATGGTTTCAAATTTGTTTTGGAGGAACAGGGGGAGGATGCGGTGGATGGCAGTAGACCAAATGACTGGGTAAGAGCATGCCCAAAGACTAGAGGTCCCCATGGTCAGGAACATTTTGATACTGTTGTGGTGATGGGGACTGATGAGTGCGAAAGCACAGGCCTTCAAGGTGAGTTGATTTTATTTATTTTTCTTGTTAAAACCTTATTATAGAATCCAGGTACAAGAATCGGTAGGCTATATTTATTGTTCAAGCTACCCCAATAGGTCTATGGTGCTTTTGCCTTCCCAGAGTACTGGCCAACAGAACCCCTTGCCTACATCCAATGGTATACTCCACTGAAACCTGCACCAGAGAAAGATCACCTTATGTATCAGGTGAAGAAGATGCCTCTCAGGAATGGTAACATGGCCCCAGCAGATATCATTCCTATCAGCAGCATACATCAGACATGTCAGCTTATTTCCTGTGTTGGTGCTGGAGTCGTTCCAGAAGAATGGAGATCAGAAAATGTACTAGATAGTTGTGATTGTTTCTTGTTAAATAACTGGGCCATCAAGTATGCATACCAAACACTGTATTAGGGTAGTGATATCATATGAAACAAATTTGATCATCCACAAGGCTTCTTTGGAAAAATGAGTTCAATAATAGCTGTTATAGCTATTAGAGTCATGAAAGATGGGAATGAAATGGAGGGTTGCTATATAGCCACAAAAGCTGTTATGATTGGGACCTTTTGGACCCCCTATCTATAAAGCTCTCTATAGCAGAACAGTTTTTCCTGACAGAGGTCAGATTGCACCAATGAGTCCTCCTCTAATCGCCAAGCCCCATCCATTATAACATGGTGAGTGTCTGATACTCGGTACACTACAAATCATTGAGCCAAGAACACCTCATTGCCAGACAGGTTGTCACCAGGGTAAGGTGCATCAGGTCGTCTCATACCTGTTTGTCCCCCTGGTAGCACCTGTACAACTTCTTGCGTTGTTTAGTGCTATAATCCAGGGGGAAGCAATAGTTGAACAGCTTGGTAAAGAACTCATCCAATCTCCAGTTGCCCAGGTTGTCTGACACTTGTCTCTGGTAGAATTCATGTGCCTTTCCCTTTAGGAATTGAGACAGCATGAATACTTGACGGGATCGTGAAATGTTCCTATCCTCTAGGTACGCTGTTCCTTCGGTCATAAACCGACGGATGGCACTAGAATCCTCCACACCGTCATCCTTGGTGGGAGGGATTCGTATTAAGGTACTTTTCTTTCTAGAATATTTCCCCTTCTTACTGCTCTTATGCTTCTTAGAACATTTCTTCCACTTCCTAGCAGTCGAATCAGACTCAGAAGTCTTGGATAAGTCACTGGACTCGCTCGATTCAAGACTCTAACTGGCCTCACTGGATGACAAGCTTGAGCTCTTGGATGATTCAGACTCTAAAGAACTCGATGACAAAGAGCCTGTCAAACTCGGTGAGTCTTCAGTGTCTCATCCCTTCCATTTCTTAACATTCTTTTTATTAGGTTTGATCTGCATGACAGCGCATCCCAGATAGCTTTGGGGGCTATCTGGGCAACAGCATCCATTGCTGGTGAGGTAGATCTTTCCCCTATTTAAAGGGTTTGCTTCCCGTCTTCTCTAGCATCTCCTTGACAGGGTTAGAGCCTTTTGGCTCCTTCCCCGCTTTAGATGCTTTATCCTTCTTGGGAGGTCTGATCTTAACCTTCTTAACTGGTGGGTCATTCCTTTATCGAGCTCCTACTTCAGCTGCTGAATCTCATTTTCAAACAGCCTTGTCATTCGCTTCTCAGTGGCCTTTATGGCTGCCATTATAGGATCCGCCAGATCCTCCCTGTTCTCCTGCTCTGAGGCTTCCTTCAACCATTCATGGGTCTGAGCCCAGATCTCAAGGGCTTCTCTCTGGGTGTCAAGATCTACTTCAGACTCATCCAGGTCAGCATTTCCCAATTGTGTGGGTCAACTCCCTTCCATTTGGGGTTGGAAGGTCCTTCCTTGTGAGACAACATTGTCTGCTCTCAGGAGTCTGCATTCATTTCAGTGTGTTTCCTTTCAAGGATTCATTGCCTCTCCTCTGCAGTAAGTAGTTTCTCTGCTTCTCTTACTAGGTCAGCTTTGGGCTGACTCTTTACTGGCACTATCTTACTGCCTGTTTAGATTTCCTGTGGTCTCGCTCAACCATTGTCCAAGGTGCATCTACCTCAGACTCATCAGACTCACTCGAGCTGACGAAAGGATTGTCTAATGTTTTATTTGTAGATGATGCAGAGTTCGGGGCTACCAAAGTCTTATAGCTACTAGGGGTATCTTCAATGCTCAAGACACCAGTAGACACAACCTCAGTGCCAGGCTGAGGAATGTCTCCTCTCGTCCTTACCATGTGACTAAATGAGCATACAGGTCTCAGGACAGAACCGTCGACATGTGAGTGTTAGACTTCTCCACCATTGAGCTATTACATTTGGTAGGTACTGATGTAAGTGATGACTCACTTCAGGTATCAGTTGCATTTTCAATGCTGGCAATAGGTGCAGAGCGCAGGGGGGTAACAAGATGGCATGATGGTAGATGTCCAGTTGGTATGTTTCAGTGGGCCTAACTGGGTTGGTGCCAGAGTCGACAGTGGGAGAGAGTTTAAAGGGTAGAGTAAAGCTTTGTAGACTTTAGGATGTCAAAAAAGATGTGATGTTGACTATTTAGCAGATAAGGCTCGAAGGCAACAGCATAATAGAGAAGAGTGCGTTCAAACAAAATACAGGATCAAAGTCTCAATTCTCGTGGTTCAAACAACACTGCCCTAACTCTACAGCTAACTAAGGCTTTTAAGGTGAAAACAAAGAGTGTCAGGTGATCACAGGAACTAAGGAATGAGGGTAAGGAACGGGTTGCAAACAGCTCAGCTGATGGCCATCAGTGAATTGATGAGTCCGTGATATGGTAGTCATAAGAAATATAGGATGATATAATTCTGCTCCTACTAAATATACCTATGTATACAGCGAGAAATATGAGTGATCAGTACATAGCCATGGATGTTTGAAAATCCATTTTACCATGAGGAGTTCGCGACAAGATCGTGGCATTGCACCATTGCAGTGATCAATGTGCAATAGCATCAGTAAGTCACACTTGTTGAATCATACCATATTCCTTCATTTATGCTTTGAACTACCAAGTGATATAAGACTTTATTGTGGAAAGCACCATTAGCACTTGTAACCTAATGTAGATTCTTATGAGAGTTCCTGACAAGGTTATGACTTTGCACCATCACAATCAGCGAGGTATGATAGTGTAATTAGGTACCATTCATTGAGCAACAAGAGTACAAGGTGGAGCCGCCGGGAAACCTGCTTATGAATTTGGTCATGCTCTAACTCTTGTGCGGCGCAATCAAGATATATAAGTGTCTTTATACATTCTAACAATTACAATAACAAATATTTTGGAATACAAAGCAGTAACGGTTCAAAGGCTAATTAAGAGGGAGTGGTGGGTGGGAGCAAGGAATGATAAGGATAACCATCGAGAGATTAAAGGGTGCTTAGGTCGATGTCGTAGGTATGTCGAAAAACAAACTTGGATGAAGGAAGATTACGCTAACACTCATGGTGCCGGGAAACTCCACAGGCTACACCTCGGCACCTGTACAATGCTCGAGCTTACAGGATGCTTAGGTAAGATTTGAAAAATTTCACACAAGTTCCTTTTGACTTTGTTTCACTGCCACTACCACCACCCTCTCAAGCTCAGCGTCTGCTGTTGCCATCTCATCCAGTGCACACCAAATTGTGCTCTTTCCTCCCTGGCCCCTTGTGGTGGTCCCTCCCTGGCCTTTCCTCGGGGTTCCTCCCCGGCCTTTCCTTGTGGTTCCTCCCCAGCCTTTCTTCGTGGTTCCTCCCCAGCCCTTCCTCTTGGACCCTCCCTGGTCCATCCTCGTGGTTCCTCCTTGGCCCTTCCTCATGGTCCCATCCTGGCCCTTCCTTGTAGCCCTTGTGCTATTCCCTCTCCACTATCTTTTCCTGTTCTCTTTTTTTGTCCAGTAACTACATATGTATTCCAATCTAAATTTTTTGATTTTGTTCATAAAATGAGTGTTAAGATCGAGAATTATTTGGTGCTGGTGATAAGATGGTAGGTAGTTGCAGGCAATCTGTCATGCTTGCACTTTTGGTAGTTCTGTCCAATTTACTCCGGGTAGTATCATTCTGATAGATATTATATAAATTTTGGGGTAGACAGAGCTTTGTAAACCTTTATATTTTCGGGTCAATTACCCGATGCTTCAGAGTTGTGAACCTCCCTTTTGTTATGGCATTATTGATTAATCTAGCTCAACTGTCGACTTTTGCCACACCTTCACTTTAATTGTGAGTTTGAGTGAAATCAGGACCTTTTTCTCAATCATAAAATTTTGTTGGAAAATCAGGGAACCTTCTTTCCTCTCTAGTATGGCCAAACATAACAATGTGATTGTCGATAGCAGAATTATGCTGGTTCTTGTGGTTATGTACTATATATCGTGATATATGGCCTTCTACTTTCCTCATGAGTTCACTGATGGCGACATCGAGTGACTCACAATGACTGGTAAATGAGTGTAGTAAGTAAAGTGAAACAGTTATCGGTCGGGGGCTGTAGGACAGCACCACCATTACACTAGTGTCTGTGTCAGCCCTGGTACACCTTTTGTGACCTTGCACGTCCTGCATCAGCAAAAGACCCATAATTTTCGCTTGTCAAAAAGAAGTTTGATGCTTATGGTGAGCTGATGGCTCTGCTAATGGAGCAACATGATTGGGTGAACTGATTTTTCGGTAGTTACAATGAATATCTCAATATTCAACCATTAGTCTAAGGTATGCATTCCCACACCCAAGGCTAGGGCCACTCATAAGTAGTGAAATCTTGATAGCGATTAATACATGGATTCAAAACTATGTTGCTATTGTGAGATACTGATACTATGCGAACTCTGTACTCAACGTGTGATAACTCTCCTTATCTGCAAAATTGTTCAGAAAAAAACGATCATAGCTCTCCAAACAAACAGCCGAAGAAATCTTTTCATCCATCTTTTCACCATATTCTGGGATTAACTCAACAGTGTGCGTTGCACTCGTCAATGGGACCACACCACCACATCTGTGTTTACCATGTTGGTCTTCCACATATGAATGCTCAACTGTCCACATCGCACGTTCAGGGCGGTCGTTAGGACTGGCAACAAAGTGGTAATACTGAATGTAGAGGAGTGGACAGGATAGATATGATGGCAAGACCAGGTTAGAAGCATGTGGAAGATTCAGCAGAAAAATAAGTTGAACTTGTGCAACACAAGTTGCTGTTTAATCTTGTTAGTCTTGGAACATGAACACAAGAATAGACATACTGATTTGGCCATCATCGCCTGTGATGTCGACGAGGACATTATCACAGTTTCCGAGGGGGAAACTTTCACCAGGTGGATATGCCTGTACCACTCTGCTTGGCATGATCAGCCATGGCTGGAAGGCAGAACAAAGTTGCAGTCGAATTTTTTCCACGCGCTAAAGCGCCTGCATGTGTGGTCCCAGTGGGTATGCTCACCAGTGGAGAAAGAACAATGTCCTATAAACTGAGAGAGCACATGATCAAAGTCAATGAGCAAATATACACTATGAATATCGGTTGGTGACAAAGATTTAAAATCCGATGTCAGCATCAGATGGAAGGCAGTGAGGGCATCTCCAGAAAGGATGCCCTTGAGTAAATGGTTGCGAACTGGTCGAGGACCATGAACAGAGTGTGTTTCATCAGGGAGAATATGAGAAATCCAGGAGAGCACCAAATTGATAGTTGTCACAGCCTCATCTTCAGTGGATATCACATTGATAAGTGATGCACCACAGGAATGTAACAATGCGTACAGGTTAAACAGTTTGATCGACTCCTGCTGATTGAGAATCCATACAGACTGCTCACAAAGTCATTGGCCCACTGATTTGTTCGTACAAAGAGATCTTTGCAGTGAGTGATGAGCAAACACTCCGTCATATCCACCGAAAACTGCATAAAGGTGCCCAGTCTCTTGACTGTGCCTCTAAAACTTTGTAGCAGTTCGAGTTTGGAAATGAAAAAGTCTTCCTTAGAACCCTTTTTTCCCCTCCTTGCCTGGGCCTTGATGATAGCATCTTTGAATGTATGAAAGTCTGAAAGAGCCTGCACCATCGAAGCAGGGTGTCTGCAGAATAAACTGGATTTTGGGCAAGATGAATGAACTCAATGAGGGCATGGAGTGCGCAAATAAATCTAGGCGGAGCAGCACCTGCAATTGAAGCAACAATGGTGCACTGGATATCCCGATGCTCACGGCCTGTCATTTGGTTGACATGTGTGATGCCTTTGGTGAAGTGGCGCGTCCCCACCTGCTTGTGCTGAGCGATGAAGCGAGCATCGAGCTCAGGTTTTCCTACTACCCTCCTTGGTCCAGTTGAGTGAATGGTCGGCAAAAAATTTGAGGCAGGTATGCCATATCTCACCAGCGAGAAAGACAGATGGGCACGCATATATCCAATCATGCCAATATGGCATGTGAACTCCAGATAGATTGACCACTTTGGCTGCCTTCTGGAATTTGTCAAGATCCCAAACATCAGTCGTTTTGGAGATCTCACAGATAAGTTGCAGTGTATGTTGACCAGTATGAGGAGGGTAGAGAACTCCATCACCAAAATTTTCTTGTAATGCTATCGTCATAGGAGATGCATTTTTGCTGACCGCTGTGGGAAACACAACAAGAAGAAAACTCTGTAAAGTACCCTTCAAATGTTGGGTCAAAATTGCTATGCCTAGCTGCTATTCGACCCTAAAGGATTTCTGTACTAGACTCAGAGCTCAGAGAGTAGAAATATCATCAAGCAAAAGACTGTGATTCAGACTGGTACTGACACTGGTGAAAGGGAGACCTGATTATGTAAGCAGTAAAAATGCGAACATAAACTAAGGAAAGTGGATAAGTGACGGTAAGTAAAAAGGGGAAATATCAGCCCAGGGAAAACTATATTGTCACACCACAGCTATCATGGAAGCCTCTGGAAGGTCGCATACGTGAGCGACAAGTGGCGTAAAGACATAATGAATGAATCTGGAAGGATCAGGCATAAAGCAACCTGTCTTGGCTGCCAGTTTGAGGTTGGCGCAGACAAGATCAACACACTTATGCCACAACCACGCCTGAAGAATTGTTTGATAATCAGGATGCACACAAAACTTAGCGATGGGCATGTAAGTGATACAGCGCCAAGCTCAGAGTGTGGCCTTAGAGCGAACCTCTGAATCAAGATTACCGATAGTGATGAAGATGGGGTGCATCTCAAGCCCCCCGGTGGTTCTCATCACGGGAGTTCTATCAGATCCTAAGATGATTGGGACTTGCGTAGCGCCTAATGGGAGACAGTCCTATATGAAATCAATCTTTGAGTCTTAGACTAAGCAGGGAAAACTGACCTGAATTTTCCATGCGAAATTGCCGCTCATATAATCTCCATACTTGCGCTGATTCCTGACATTGAGTATGTGTGGCTGAAAGGTAATGTGATTGGCAAAAACTGGGTCGCTGAAAAGTTGTTTGACAACCTCTAAAGCATCGCACCAAATGAGTTGGATGGGACAAATTGTCTTGTAGCCCGTAAACTCTAGATTTGAAACATTCCATTCTGCAGGGCGGGGTGGGGCATCCATCCAGTCAAGAAGTTGATCTTTTGAGGTGAAGGATGGTTTTGGGCGAGTGTTAAACTATGAAAGAAGAGTCAGACTTGCGGAATAGTACTACTTAGAGTCTCCTACCCATTTCAGCTTCAAGAACTTGTCAATCTGCGTCTGGTTCAGGTTTTCAACCAAGAACATAGCTAGTTCCCACTCCCCTTCATCATGAAAAGGATAGTAAGTGTTTACCTCCTTCCAATAATTATACTGATCTTCCTGCAACCTGTCAAATAGGTTTTTGCCAAGACCAAAAACATATCCAGAGCGAGGATGAAAATGGCCAGTAGTGTCCAATGTCGATGGATGTGAACCTCGCAACCCAGGAGGAACGGGCGATTGTTGTGGATGTGGATGTGCTTCGTGCAGCCAACAGGTAGACTGTGAATTGTGATGTAGAACAACTGCTTTGATGGAAGAGAACTCCCCACTGCAGTTGGGACACAGCCTGGTAAAGGTACATGCACAGATAAGCATACTGGCAACAGTGAATGATACGTACATTTGCTTTGGGCGATAAAGTGTTGCAGTCAGAAATTGCTAAGATAGCGGTCTTGTGAATTCAACGAACATCACGTGCATGTGACAAAGTGTGATGCTGTGTGGATAAGTGTCGCAAAGGTATGCTGAACAGTGCTGAACTCATGCCAAAGCATGCTAAGTAGAAGTCGAAGAATATGGTATTGGTACGATGAATACCATCAACAAAAGCGACAAAACCATTAATGGCCAAATATGCTAATTTACCTATTCTATTCCAATGCCAACCTGCTATGGACATTGTATGCGCAATGATTCGGGGTGAAATAATTCGAGGTGTTTGTATCACTCTACCAGCCTGGCAAGCATCTTGTATGTACATTCATTTAGTGTAAAATAATTTAAGCTGTTTGCATGATGCTGCCAGCCTGAGATACACTTTATAAGGTTGAATATCAAAGCTCGCTGTAATCATCTGCCTCATCCTTGACCCCAGGACAGCATCATCTACCTCACTGGTGGCACCTCCATCATCCCCCCCATCTTCATCTTCGTTCTCGTCACTTTCTTCAAGCTCCTCGATGCTATCATACCCATATTCTTCTATCTCATCCTCATCTGCCTCCTCATCCGAATCAAGCCCTGGCTGCTCCGCACCTTCAATCTCAGTATCCTCCATCTCAGCGTCGCCATGCAACTCTCCCTCATCTGAATCAAACTCTGCATCTTCAATCTCCATATCATCCATCTCATCATTGAACTCTTCTTCAGCATCAGTCTCCCCCTCCCTCGTCCAACTTGTCACGGTCAGACAAGAACCAGTTGGTGGCTTGCCAGGTGGATTTGTGTCCAACTCCACCTCCACAGAAGTGCATCATCATATCTCGATCGACGAACCTAATGGGGTTCTAAGGTAAGACATGGTGGCACTAATAGACAAAAAAACTTACATATTAACATACAAAAAGGTCCAATCTTCATTGTTGTTGTGAGTCAGACGTGCAATTGAGGGCGGAAGAAGGGTGTCAGTGTGACCATAGTGAAATGCAGGGACGAGATGAATTCCGTGGATGACTTGCTGTGGGTCCAGGAAACCAATGGCTCCAGGGTCATCACTCGGAATGAAACCTACCCGTTTGAGCCTCTTCACCTTCCAACCAGCAGTGTAGGGGTGCCATTCTGTTCCAGGATCTCGGCCGAACCATCGGACCCAAAGGAAGTCCATTTGCTGGGGTTCATGGGATTTTGAATGCTCGCCAGTGTGAATAATGAGTGTGTGGAATACGCCAAGAATTTGAGCATACCAGTAAGGGTGGCCATCACCACCATCCTCATGTGCAAGGAGCATGACATCAGCATTAGTCCGAGGATTAAGTGAATCTTGATCACAGCGCAAGTCGTAAGTTGTGTAGTTGACACAGAGAACCTTGTGGTGAAATATCTTTTCATGGATGAGTATGACGGTGCTGCGCTCAGCAGATGTGAATTCTCTCTCATCTCCATCATATTCTAGCCCGCGCAGGCGGGAGAGTAGATGCTCTTTCAGTCGAGGTAGAAAGTTCTTGTGTGCATTATTAGTAGACCTCAATTCCACATAGATATGACAACTTACGTTCAATGCAGGATCACTCTTGTGTTGTGCTAGCCACTTGTATATATTGATGTGATACCGAGTGCTAGTGGAGATGTGATAGTGGTTTTGTGGATCACTGTAGGGCAATGGTTGTGAGTCCTCAAAGCGCAGTGCAGGTGCATCAGGAGAGGACAACTGAAGTACTCTCTTCTGCTTGCCTGCGTCTTGCTTACCCTTTCCCTTCTTTTCATAAGGAGATCCTTCTGCCATCTTAAACAGAATACGCTCGCGACGTTGTTGCTTGGCTATGCCAGCAGTGAATTTCGCCTTGCTCACACAAGGATAGAACCATTTGACTCGTCGGTGTTCACACTCTCCCTGTAACAAATCTGTAAGTAAGTGTAGATAAAGAAACAAGTACATACCGGCTGTGTTGAGTAGTTATTACTCGTTCCAAACTTTTGGATTGCTTCCACATAATCACCAAGGGCATGGAGCTTATAAGTTTGAAAGTTAAAGTGTCATACTTTTGGACTGCTCATCTGCTGACCAGACCTTCGAGGTCCCTGGTCAGTCGAGTTTCCAGTACCTTTTGCAGCCTTGTTGGCTTTGCGATGACCTCGTGCAGCTTCTTCGCTTGGAAGATCCTTCATAACATACTCCTTTGCTGTTGCCTTCATGAAGTTCCTGAGAAACTGACCACGTCGTGTCGTTGACAAGTCAAGGAAGTTGAGAGTCATGTCAGTGTGCATCCGCAGCTTCGCCAGACCATGCCACATAGCAAGCTCAAATAAGAGGTCAAGGAGAGGCTCATTGTAGAGTGATGGGAGGAGGCCCTCAAATACAGGTATAGCGCACTGAAGATAATGTAAATAGTTGTATGGAATCCAAATAACAAACATACCTGCAATAAGTCTTCAAAGTCTCTCCCTGCAAGGTGCTTCATACCAGAAGCATTGTTGCTGAAACGACGTATTGTTCCACGACCAAAGGTTGGAACTTGACAAAATCTTCATGGACACCATGAGAAGAATCTCGCACATGCAAAATCACTTACCTTCGATTCAGTTTCTGGATTGCCTCCTCACCATGCACATACAAAATGCGAATGAGGTGAGTGAAAACTGCTTTCCATACCCCAAGTTTGAACTCATGCAGGAGGTCAGGGACAAAAAGTTCATAGAAATTGACCCCGAAGTGTTTCAATTGAGTTGAAAATGCGCTCTAGAGTGTAGTGAGTCAGGCTGGTAGTGAGCTGATGATAAACAGTACTTACAAGTGTTGGAATGAGTGACCTGGGACCAAGGTTATCCTTCACATGCTTGCTAGTTATATTTACTCCCTTCCTGTATAGCCAGTCTTGAACCATGGTTATTGTCGACCAGAGCCAATGACTGTCTTCGTGAATATAACGCTCTCGCCTGTATCGATCAACCTTCTTCCCTAAGTCCCCAATCTTGCTCTTCAAGGTTAAGCAGCGAGGGCATGGACACTGAGCAAGGAACTTTATACAAGCCAGTAGTGTTCTAAATTTTAAGATCAGTCACAATCCATTAGAGATACTTAGAACGTACTTCTCGGGATAGTCAGCAGAATAGGTAAAGAAGCGAGGAAATATGCGTTGTCGAATCCCATCAAGACACTCAATTACAATACCAAATTCATAGGCATGCATAAAGTCGTTGTCCATGAGAAGTAGCCAGATGGCCTGCATGAGCTCGTGACGACAGTGCGTAAGAACCTGTGCTGTAGCAGCTTTACCGAAAGTATCACAATAAAAGTCTTGTATTATGTCGGAAAGCTAGTGAATGAATTAGAGAATGTACAATTACTGTTTTTCGGTCATACCTTGGGTATATATGCAATATGATGCGCAGCAAATGCAGATGTTTTACCTCATATATACTTTGATTGATTTCCAAGAAACAAATATATCGGCCAAAGAGATGTGGTCCCAAAGCTGGCAAGATGGGTAGAGTCAGACCAAAGCATGATGGCCGCTACTACAGTCTCCAGGGTACACCCATCCTCGCGTGGTTGAGAGCGTATACAATCATGTTCTTCAAGCATTGCGGGAGAAGTGTAAATTTTGGAATAGATACGTTCGGGAGGCCTGTCAGGACTGGGGAGATAGTGTTGTTCAAAAGGTGTGAAATGAAAATGCTCGGCCGATGCTTCATGGAACGCATTTTTGATAATTTCGATAGGACGACGGTAGAATAGACCAGGAATGGAAAATTCTGGTGCATCCTCCAGTGACTTATGTGCGACTCCGTCTGCGGGAATACGGATCTTCACACTCGTCTCCTGCCAACCATCGTTTGCAGAGACTGATGAGCGAATGTCTTCTGGATCACCATGATACATATCTAGGCGCTCAATCTCCTTGGCAGCACGGAAACCCTGAAGGTCAGCCCTATCAAACACTGCGGGCATTTACTCATTTTCCTCCAAAGAACATCCAAAAAACATTGATTTAGAAGATAGAAATTTCCCTGTATTTTACTTGTGAAAACATTGAAAAAAAAATTTGATGTCTCAAAGATTTTCTGTACATAGAACATGAGTCAAAAATTAGTCATTTTTTCTCAAGGAAAATGCTAAATTTTTCATTTATTTTCTTTCAAATAACAGCTTACAACAATGTTATTTTTTTTTTCTGTGTTTTTCAAATGTGCTGTGCATCAAGAGTCTCAATTACTTTATCCTGTTCACTACATGTTTGATCCACGAACATTGAAAAAAAGATAACAAAACATACAAAATATTTTTTGAATGTTTTGTTGAGGAAAAGCAAAGAAACTCTCAAAAGTTCCTTTTCATATTTGGTAAGAGAAAATTTGTGAAACATCTTCCATGTTTTGTAAGAAAAAATAAATAATGTTTGCAGTATATTCCTCCTGGACAACACTTGTAAAAAAATTATTATGTTCAGAGAAAAAAAATGAAACATGATTGCAGGATGCTCCTTCTCAGAACATGAATAGATTATACATTTTATTCTGCACCATAAAATACAATATGTTCTGTGAGATATCATTAAGACATACAATCCACTCACTTTTTTTAAGTCTTGCAGCAGTGTGGTGATTGAAATGAGCTCCAACATTTTACTGGAGGTTGATGGTGTTGAGCATGGTCTAGGTGCACAAAGGATGGATTGCATCATTATCTAAGCTACAAAGGTGTGTGTATTGTGCATTTTGCTCCCCAGTGCTCAAATCTGATAATCTATCCTATATAATATTGTTGTTTTTCATGTTGAGCAGCTACTCCAGCACATCACCATGTCACTCCTTCAAATGCATGCATCTCACACCTCTCAATCCTTTGCACTGCCTGTCTTCTCACACCCTCTTGCACCTCTTTCACATTCATTTGCACCTTCTTTGCCCTCACCTTGTATGTTCTGCATCTAGCAAATTCTATTGATCCATGTATGTATCTACATGAATTATGAGTGTTTTTGGCCCATTTGATATATCTTGCAAACATTTGTGCTTGTTTGTGCTCATTTTCAGCTGTTCTCACTGTGAATCCCTGGTAAGTTTTATTCTGCATTGTAATTACTAACAAATAGCTACCTATTTTTTTTATTTTATAATTCCAATTTTTTGTCCTTTCAGAGTAAACTCTATGTAGGACAATGTGATCTAGTCTAAGGGCCCCCAGTGCCCTGTGCGCATCTCTGAAACCGCGAATGCCCTGGTGTAGGGCATACCCCACCAGTCTGCTGTTCCTGCCAGCCATTTTAGATGGCATTTCAATGAAGATGAGATGACTTTGGGTATGTGTGCATAAGTAGTAAATAGCTATCAAAATGGAAAGTGTAACGCATACTCGACCCTTGCGGGCTAGTACAGGAATCGGTCTGAATACAGTGATATGGGTTTTCTGAAGGACTGGAGGGTTGATGGTAGGTCCTGTCGGATTCACTGATTTATTCCAGGAAGAGGCACAGTGATTCCATGTAGGCTAGTTTGTGGAAGGAGGTTTGGAGGGAGGGAGGAGGATCAATGTTTTCGATGTTACAGTTATCTACAAGGGGGGAAAAACGACGGGTCATCTGTCTGCAGGCGTGCAAGGGAGCGGAACATCACCAAATGATGCTTTCAGTCTGCCAGAACCATTGATGAAATGGACTAGATAGCTAACTAGTTACTAACAGCCATATCTGTTGACATCAAACAACTATTTAGCTGTGAACATCTCTTACTCTCGCATGTCTGCTCACATCTTTCAGCCAAATCAACTCATGTACTGCTTTGCCTCAGCACCTGGAGCAGTCTCTTTGACTACTGACCCATGGGTGGACCCTCAACAAGTCTGGGTTGGGTGCAAAACCTGTACCCCTTGTTGGGGTGTGGGTGTGGGTGAGGCCTCTGACACCCTAGGGTATACCCATGTGGATCCCTATTTGCTACTGATTATGCATATTGGATCTAGATTGGTGTTTGCATTTGTGATATATGCATATTTTTTTTCAAGCATATGGAATGAAGGCATTCACTGGAGTGAAAACTTTTAAAACAAGAATCATGAATGAGTACACAAAACATCGTCATGCAAAGTAGAATTAATGTAGGAAGACATCAAGTTGGTGGTGCATACAGTTGGGTGATGAGGTATCGGGCCTGGGGTAGATTGGGAGGGCACACTATGCCAAATGTATGAGGCAGTTGGCTGCTCATTGTCTTGCAATGTTCAATAGAAGTTCTAATTCTGCTGCTGCCATATATAATGGACAGACCACCCTCATCATGCTCCTTCAAAACTACTACTTCTCTCATGGTCTGGTTTTTTTTTTTCTGGTCCAAACCCAAACCGAACCTAAAAATTTTCAGTAGAGGTTCTCTTCATCAGGCAAGTGTTGGATGTTACAAGAATGGTTGATGAGGAAGAGCAACTTGGAAGAGTAAATGAGAGGCATAACTTGAATTATTGCATTAGACTAGGGTATGGGTTGACCTGTGGGTACCAACATTTTCAGAGACCTACCCATACCCACCTAGGTCAGAGCATCATGGGTGCAGTGTAGAGACTCATGTCTCTACAGGTGCATAATGAGCATAATCTCACTTCCTCTCTCAATGCCTTCACTAGCCACAGTGAGCCGCACTTACAGCGCAGTGCAGGACAGCTGCCTTAGCACTATGGCCAAGCACAGGGCATGAGCACCAACAGTCACATGCGCTTACACGCCAGATCCCATCACATGTCCTTTGAATGTCCTGTCCATGTCCTTCCCAGTCCATTGGTGCATATTTTCTCTTATCAGTGTTATCCTGACAATACTTCCGTGTCATACGACATTCCTTGTGTCATGGACCCTTACTTATGTGCCCTTACATATGATACATACTCACTTGCTTGGCTCCACACCATGGAAAAGTGCTTAGCAATACTTACTTCCATTCCACAACCATTGCAGTCCATAGCAGCAGTTATCATCTGAATCCACTCGAGTTTGTCTCACTCACGCTTGAATGCACCAAAGCACTTTCAGCCGCTCTCATCTATGATCTTTGATTCCCTTATTGATTGCCACCCTTACTAAGAGTATCCACTCTCAAGCCTTAGGAAGCACGCTGGAACTTAGTAGCAGCCCGGCAGGCACCTCTGATTTACCTGCCATCTTATCAGCACCTCTTCTCTCAATGAGATCTCACAGAACATATTGTATTTTATGGTGCAGAATAAAATGTATAATCTATTCATGTTCTGAGAAGGAGCATCCTGCAATCATGTTTCATTTTTTTTCTCTGAACATAATAATTTTTTTACAAGTGTTGTCCAGGAGGAATATACTGCAAACATTATTTATTTTTTCTTACAAAACATGGAAGATGTTTCACAAATTTTCTCTTACCAAATATGAAAAGGAACTTTTGAGAGTTTCTTTGCTTTTCCTCAACAAAACATTCAAAAAATATTTTGTATTTTTTGTTATCTTTTTTTTCAATGTTCTTGGATCAAATATGTAGTGAACAGGATAAAGCAATTGAGACTCTTGATGCACAGAACATTTGAAAAACACAGAAAAAAAAAATAACATTGTTGTAAGCTGTTATTTGAAAGAAAATAAATGAAAAATTTAGCATTTTCCTTGAGAAAAAATGACTAATTTTTGACTCATGTTCTATGTACAGAAAATCTTTGAGACATCAAATTTTTTTTTTCAATGTTTTCACAAGTAAAATACAGGGAAATTTCTATCTTCTAAATCAATGTTTTTTGGATGTTCTTTGGAGGAAAATTAGTAAATGCCTGCAGTGAAACTCCTTCACCAGGATCACTTCATTGATGAGGCGATCCAGTTCCGCCAATGACTTCATATTAGAGCCGCCATAAAACCAGCACATCAAGAGGAAGGTTGTGACGTTGAGAAATGGTGCAAAGTAATTGACCTTTACAGCCTGGAGGGAAGATCCAAAACCAGACCACCATGGCCGAGCACCGGTTAGCTCGTGCCGTCGACCAAATGTGGATGCGTCAGATATAGATGCCAGGGACACAAGGTCATCTGGACTGTGAGTAGGGAGATTGCCGTGATAAGTGCGATAGATGCCGTAGCGGTTGGGATTGGTGTGTATGATGGAATCCTCAGCATCAGAAGATGCTTGCTCTGCATTTGCTAGGGAGATAGGATCAGTTGGTTCCACCTGAGATTCATTATCAGGGGGCTGCGGGAGAATGACAGCCACAAGGGGAGGCTGTTCATCACGGAAGTGCTTCGGTAAACGAATATGGCGGCCTGGTCGCCCAGAGGGACGGATGGGAGGAGGTGAAGGGCTTGCAGGCTGAGGAAGCTATATGATATGGATTCAGTACTTAGAGGGGGCTCAAAGAGTGCGATACAAACAGGTACATCATCCTCAGCTTCAGCCGTACTCTCTCAAATTTCCTCTCTCCTGCGTCGAGCTTCTTCTTCCTCTTCTTGATGCTGAACTTTTGCAGCTGCCTGGACTTCGCTATTATGGCGCTGTTTCTTGAGTGTATCAGAGGCAGCACCAACAACCTTTTTACAGTATCGTTTGTGTGTAGAGAGGGATCGACTGTCATCAAACGAGCGCCCACATCCTGGGCACCTGTGAGTTGAGGGCATGGGCAGTGGGATTGTCGCTCACCTGTGAATGGTCACTATAAATATTGCTGGAACTGAATTGTTAATCAGTCACAGTAGCAGGGTTCGGCACGTACATGCGATCACTGATGTAAAGCACGGGCTCATACCAATATGGTACTAATCACACTACAGGTGAGATATGACTCAAGTAAATTGAGCATGTATTACATTACATACATAACAGATTACTAAGGTAATTGGACCAGGAAGTAAGAAAGAACAAGTGAGAAAGGGCGCGTGAGAATGCGAAGGCAGGTAAGAAATGGCGCATGAGAATGGGAATGAGCGAGCGACCAGGAAGTGAAGCGCGAATTGAAAAAAACTCACCAATCGACATCCAGACCCTCCTCACGGCAGCACAGAACAGCGTCCCAGCAGGTGAGGGTGAGAGGCGGGTGAGGGTGAGAGAGGCAGGTGAGGGTGAGAGGTGGGTGAGAGTGAGAGGCAGGTGAGAGTGAGAGGTGAGTGAGGGTGAGAGGCGGGTGAGAGTGAGAGGTGGGTGAGGGTGAGAGGTGGGTGAGGGTGAGAGGCAGGTGAGAGTGAGAGGCGGGTGCAAGAATGAGAGGCGGGTGAGGGTGAGAGGCGGGTGAGAGTGACCGTCTGCTATTGCGATGAGGTGGAAGTCGGCCAGAAGTCAGGCCAGAAATAAGATAAATAGCCTAGTACAAGAAACAAAGTCAGTACACATGGTAGGTAGTAGGAATAGATGTGATAAATGCTGTCAGGCTCAAGTGCTCAGAGTCGCCTCCTAGAGGCGTGTCCTTGCAGCCTGACAGCCTCTGGTCCAAGTCACCTCCTAGAGGCGTGTTAGACCAGGAAGTGAAGTGCAAATAAAGATAAAATAAAAAACTCACCAGAGTTATTGTGCTCGCGGTACCAAGTACCTGTTGACCCCTGCATGAAGCCTCAACACAGACTGAGGAAAGACACCAAGATTGAGGACAGATGGTGAATATGATTTGTGGTAGTATCTAACAAGACGAGCGAAATCATGCATTTGGCAATTCAAACTCCACCAGCAAATTCCGACGGTGCTAAACTTCCAGCGCTGATGCGTCTATCTCTGTTTTCTTATACATTTTCCTAATTTCTAATTTCTAATTTCTAATGTCTAGTACTACACTACCTCTCGCTGTTGACTGCAGTGAGAAGCTCGATGTCCGTGGCAATTGCATTGCCATGGACATCGAGAACATTCTCATAGACTGGCCAATATACATGGTCGAGTTCACCCCCAAGAAGCCGGGACCTGTAGTAAGTGCATATATTACAATATCTGTGTCATTGATTAACACACGTTGATCCTACAGAAACTAATGATACATTTCAAAAATGCCTCAAAGGGAGTCTGGGTCAAGGATGAGGACAGTGACGCCGAGACAGTGACAGTCGCGACTTGCAAGAGGTATGCTCCCGCTTCCGTGCTCACTGTGAGCATACAAACTAACATATCATCTGTTTCAAGCTCCTCCGCTTGTGCTAGTACCACCCATGATGCTGACACCACGTTGGTATCTGATACGCCCTCTGAGTCCAAGTACGTTGAGTCATGGTTTAGAGCTCTGTGTCTGACCTCAACGTACCTTCAGGGATGACACACAGCTTGTCAGCGCAACTCCGGTACACTTCATTGGTATCCCCAAAAACCCCTCAACTCTCAAAAAACGCAAATTCGGAGATGAAGATACCATTTGGCCCCCTTGCCGCTCTCGCTACAGAGGTGTTGATGACATACCAATCTCAGCTTTCCATAAACTCTCGATTCTTCCTGCCCCTGTAGTGGCTGAGGATGAAACTGTATAGATGTCTTACTTTGTACCATCACTGTCTTGTTCCGTCATACTGCTGTCTGTATATCATTGTTGCGCATACATGTACTACTAGTAGCAAATCAAAGCCGTCGTGACCATCACATGACTGGCCCAAACAACGCATCAACACAAATATGAACTCCAATTCTTATCATACGCGCCTTGCCCTAACTCTAACTCTTACATCCATCATGCCGTCTCCATCTCCACCTCCTGATGTCCCCAATCGCATGAAGGCCATCCTTGAGAGCTTGGAAAACATGCAAGGCAATCGGAAAAGGAAAAGAACGTAAGTGGTTTTTAAATTATTTGATAGGTAGCACTGATATGAGATAGTGATGCTTTGGATCCCTTTTTGAAGGCCACAAGAGCCTTTCCTCTGCTCCACGATCCCTTTGTGGATATCGGCGCTGTATTCCATGATGGGATTAGGGCCGATCATGGGGAAGAACTTACCGATGAAGACGAAACACCCGAAGAACAGTAAGTCCTCTTTTCCTTTGGTATATATTTATTCAGCTCATGTTGGCTTCAGTAAGGACCACTTATACCGCATCAATGTTTTCCGTGACTTCATCAAGCGTATCCCAGCCATCATCACCACACTCAGCAGCTTCGAGGAAGATCCGGCCAAGCTAGAAGACTTTATTAATGCGGTGAGTGGATATATGTGCTTATATGCACATATTTTTAGTCATGCTTCATGTGTAGCTTCGAAATTCTGCTTCTTTGGCGCGTGCTAAAGACACCTGCAAGCTGAAAGACCTCTGTCCGACATTTTTACTTGATGACCCTTCAAAACCTGGCGCCACTTTGGACCCCCCTATCGTCAAAGGACAACCCAAGTCACTCCATGGGTGGCACCACAAATCTACTGCGCGAGCACTCTGTCCTATGGTCGACGTCAAGAAATTTGATGAAGACCCTCAGTATACTATTTATTTCATTTTTCGCCTTCACTTACACTTTATTTCAGAGCATTTATGGATGGTATTCTCAATGGCGAGAAGAGACCACCATCATTCAAAAAACTCCCATCATGTCTATATGACGAGTCACTTGCTGACCTGAAACTGAAGCGCGCAGGGTTTCTGCGTGGCAAACCTCTCGAATGGGTACGATTCTTTTTAATTTCATGACCTTCTCATTTGTGTTCTTGTAGACATTCCGCGCTATTTTCATGGGACCTCTCACGGCACTTGATCCAACATCACACAAAGGGACCAAACACCCTAAAGGCGTCATTCATGGTATGATGGAACCTTCCGCCCCTGCTATTGCCTATGCCACTATCCAGGTATGTCACCATCCTACCTACATTATGATACTGATATATAGACTTGTCCAGTTGATTATCTCATTATCATCCGCAGAACAGTGGACATCGGAAGTCACCGGACTCGATCTCTATGAGTTGTACCTGTCAATCGTTGACTCACTGAAATGGACCGATCATCCTTGGGTGAAAGAGACGCTTGATTACTGGACAAAGTTCATTTGTTTTTTTACTCAACTTCACATTCTCATGCACCGAAAGGGTGGCGCCTCGACTAACCCAGACCTCAAGGAGAAAGAACGGCAGACGCACAGCTGCAGCATTTGACGACTCTGACTCTGACGACATGGATGGCTTCCTCGACGACCCCCCAGAATGGCCATCTCCTTCACCCGAGCGTTCATGCGGACGTCCCTCTGGTCAGCGTCTGCCCCCACCACCTGAAGAACAATGGTGTCCCTCACCCCCACTACCTGAAGAACAACGGTGTCCCTTGCCCCCACCACCCGAACAACAACGACATCCCTTGCCCCCACCACCTGAAGAGCAGCATCAGGTAACACCACCGCAAGGCTCACGTCATATTGACAAGGACGATGACGACAGGTTGACTCCTCCACCCTTGACTCCTCTGCCAGTCACAAAATGCAAGGGTCCTCCTGTTAAGTGTGGCAGGGGCACTCGTCGAAGACGCTGAATCGTGTATCTCATTGGGACTTGCTATTCTTGTCGACTCGCACTACAGTGTTACTTGGACTTGCTCGTATTCACTGATTTGTACTACCATGCGCTCATAAATGGAACCAGATTGATTATTTATATCTCATGTGTGATGACAAGTGTGAATTACTAACCTGGCATTGATGCTATGATAGCTGCCAGCAATTAATGAGGGACCTCACATGCATATCGTATATTTGCATATATATCGTGAAAATGCACATATGGCCTAGAATGACATACATAGCGTAGAATTACATACAAACCGTAAAATCTCATTCATGCCATACCATCCTGCTAACGAGCATTGATACAAACAGTCGCATATATGTCAATTTAAAGGTATGTGCAAACATGGCACCAGTATGTACTGTCTGTACCTATTTTACTGATTTTATGCCGTGGTATGCGATTATATGACAGTGTTGCTTTTGTTGATGACTATAGGTAGATTAAGAGCAGCAAGAAGCTTAAGTACTAAATGAGTTATAACATTAGTAGAAGATGTGTATCACGTGAATTAATGTGTTGTTGGGAGTGTATTCAGACAATCAAGCTCCTCCATAATGGATTGTGGGAGAACATGATGACCACAGTATTTTTTTATTGCCCATGTGGCTTGCGTACCATTCAAGCCTTTATGATATGCATCAATAAATCTCATGGATCTCATAGTGAAGCTTAAGATTGGTCAGCTAATTTTAAATGAACTTTGAAACAACCAAGGCAGCGCTCACCATCGCATTGACTCCATTGGGACGGCATCAAGTGATTCAATAACATTCCGTTCGAGAACTTCTTCTGATGAAGATCGGTCCTTCATTCAATACAACCGTTTCACAAAGCCCCAACACTGTTCTATAAAATTAAGTTCACAATGAAACTTCGGCAAGAAGATGACATCAAAACTTTGCGTGTGACACAAGATTTTGAGATGTGACTCCACATTAACGAAGTCTGGTTGAACATACATCAGACAACGACAGCAACAAGCTCTCTCGCCATTAGTCGGAGTTGGACACTTGAAATCCTTGCATTCAGCATGGAGCTTGGAGGCATCAGCATAGCCTTGTTCAACTAAAATCTGGGCCATGCCCTTGAAAAATCCGGCTTTTGGATGACTGTCGGGAAAATACAGTGACTGGGGATTGCCATTCGGGAGCCTCGCTTCAGCCATAGGAATTTTTTCTTTCAATAACTTTCCATCAGGCCTGAGAATAGTGTTACCATTGGTGTCCTTGAGTGTCCTGGGTACCCCCCAAGTTGCAGAAGGGCCTTTGGCATCTTTTGAGCAGAAAGGGCATCCTCAGCTTGTTTGAGGTGCGTGGTTGCGTTATCGAAAACTAGAACATGGTCTTCATGTGAATACCACTTCTCTAGGATGTCCATTGCTTTTGCAGCATGTGCCAAAATATCCTTGTTTGTGAAATATCCATCACGTGCTTTTCCAGCTCAGAAGAGGACTTGAGAACTCTCCTCACCATCTGGAGAACAGAGCCACCCATAGTCTGCGGAGACAAAATCGGCAACCATCAATGACGCTCCTTCCCCTTTCGGTTGAGGGATTGCACCTTCGGAACTATGCACCCATCTTTGCTTCCGTTGATCATGGGCATAAAAGGTTGACTCATCATGAAACCACACTATGACCCGACAACTTGACAGAGTTGTACCATCGGTCTCAATGTCCTCAACAGTAATGTCTCCCTCCCGCTTCCACTTTGTCATCCATGTCTGGTAATGATTCCACGCTGGCAGAAAAAACATTTTGCCGAAAATAGACAACATCTTCCTGCTCATGTCCATCAGAATACTGCCCCTTCGGTTCTTTCTTCCAATGGTAACCAAGGTGATTCATCCATCGTTGAGCTGTCTGTGGTGAGATCGTTTTTGTGAAACCGTGATGTGCCTGATTTTCAGGAACATTCAGGTAGTCAATAAGATCCTGTGCACACACATATTTCCCAACACTCTGAAGGTGGAGCTTCAAATCTGCAGCGAGGGACTCGTCGTAAATGCGTGAAAAATTTGAGGCCGCCTGTGGATTGGAAATGCATTACAGTCCTTGATATAAGCCTCACTCCAGCTTTGCAAGCACTGAGAAAGGTATGTACCATGTGCTTTTCCAGTATTGCGTGCCGCTTGATCTGCAGCACACATCCAATGCCCACCAACTGGATTTGCAGGATGTGGCCTACTGTCACTCTCCATGATACATATTTGTGTATAACCACAAGAAGTCCCGCATCCACTCTAACCTTTCTTTCAGGACAGTATCTAACTTTGGTGGGTCCTTATAACCAACTCCATCTGAACAGGGTGGTTTCAGCAATGCCCGCAGGTCCATGTAGGCATGTCTAGCCTCATCTATGCTGGGGGCAAGTCTCAGCTCGATGCTGTAATCTTGAGTCATGCCATTGCTGTCACTGTTGGCCTCATTATCACTAGCACTACTCTCAGCCTCAATATCAACATCCATTATTTCTTCTTTGACATGGGAAGTACTGCCAGTGACTGGCCTGGGTGAGTCGATGATTTCTTCAAGAAGAACTGTCGTTTGATCATTCTCCTTCCAATGCACTCCACGGATGGCAACCATATTGTCCTTGCCATCTTCATCAGGCACATCTTCACAGAAAGCATGATAGGAGTGAAAAACCTGCAATAGGGGTCCCAAAAAATGTGGTCACTGTATCACAATGAAGTTAGCTTTTAGTGCATGAAGTGTAGTATAGCACCTTCTTGCTCAATGTCCAAGGTCTTTTGTTTTTTCCTACTAGTAGATGCTTTGTGAGCCCGTGCTATTACTAGATTGTCTCTCGAACATTTCTGTGAGCGTGTTCTATTGCCCATGTGTCTTCTAGGCAGATGATGGTAATGGCTTCATGGCAAACTGCATCGGAGTTATCATGCATAGTACTGTGCCACTGACAGCCACTTTGAAATTGGAATTAAAGACTTTCCACTTCACTTCTGTTCATTCTGAATAACATGAAATGTTCACAATATTACTACTGAGGTAACTGACCACATGATTGATGTAGAAAGGGCCTGACCAATAGTTATTGCATTTTTTGTCTTTTGTCACTCTTTCATCATGTTTGGCACGTGACATTTGTCGAATCCACAAGACTGCTATCTTAAGTCTTTCAAACTCCGCTGCTTGCAATGCTGACTATATTCACAGTGTGACAGGATATCAACATATCAGCTTGCAATTGAAGGCCGGAGAGATATTAAGGCCAAAGAAACACTAGGCTGAAGTGACGCAGTTTCCTGAACAATTTTCAGTCCGCTCTTTGACCCAGCATGCCCCTTTCACTTCCATCTTCATCTCCAACACGAGACAGCAGTTGCCCCCCTCCATCAAGCAGTCCCCCATCGTCTCCTCTATCAGCTTGTTCTTCAATTCCTGGGTCACCTTTTTCATTTCAACTCACATCTCAGGGAGCTCTCCTGATACCGGACATTCTGACTTAAGTACTTCACTTAAAGGTATCTCCTCAGTGGAGATGACACCACCGCCTATGACTCCGGCTTCTGTGACCAAAGGCCTATTTTATAATCCATCCACATCTCCAGACCCCTCCCGCAATGCTTGATGTCAGTTCATACATGAACGGATGAGCAGAAAGCTCATTCCATACCCCCCGACCCAGCTCCACTCAAGGTTTGTTTTGCAGCTCATCTTATGGGGCGAGAACACAAACCATATGTATCCGGTGAATCTCTTGTCAAGGTATAATATATATTTCCATTATCCAGTTCCAAATACTTATCTATATGCTATAAAGATGCCGGACACTTGGAAAATAGCCTCTCACAAATGCGTCCTTCAACACTGTACAAAGGATACCAAGCACAACTTGCTGCTCATGAAACTGCACGCCAGTGCATGCTGGCTATCACGTGGGAAATTGAAGAAGCTGAGCACTTCATCGCATTCCTCAATGCCATGCACGCCAATAACAAAGACCGGCTCAAATTTACGGACACTCAGTTACATAGCTATAGGAGCCTTTTTCCTGAGCGTGACTGCATAGAGGTCGACAATGATCGAGACTACCTTCAAGCAGTCTATGAAGACAAATGCGAAATTCTCAAGGTCATCTCATATCAAGCTGAGCATGTGGCAAAGGTTTTAGGCTCGCATGTCAGCAATGCTTTCCAATCTGGAGTTGGAGCATCCAGATTCCCCTCATCGCAACCTGAGGTTATTGATGATGAAGCTGACGGTGTCAGCAGGGCATCTATGAAATCCGGGGGATCCAGATCCCTCACCGGCAGTGGGGCTCTGGATGAGAAAGACGACCCCAAATATCTAGGAACCTGTGCGGACTATACCACAAGCCTTGGCATTCGTCCCAAAGCCTCGTGCAGTGCCGCAATGTAAGTTCCTATTGTGGTAAGTGGAGTACACATGTCTGTTCATTATTCCACACTGATCTATTGATAAGGAACATTGTAATACACACATCGTTCTTCCTTCATAGCGCTTTTCTTGGCTCTATTGGTTTGTCATATGCATACTGTTTTTGTACATCCTTACCCCTTTATTTCTCCGCTTCTTTAGCTCACGTCACAAGTACCAATCACTGAGTCACAAGATGTAAAGTTTGTTTGCGTTGTTTGTGTCCTTCCATTTGTATTAGAACTGTAATCAATGCGCCCTTTACCCTCCCCCAAATGATTCTTCCTGGATGACTAGCAAATGTCCCCCACAGTGCAAAGGTAAAGCAAAGATTGCAAAACCTCCTTGAGGGTCCGGTCTCAACCCTTCCCATGAACCCGCAGACATGCAGATCAATTTCCCTGACGAACAGCCACAACCTCCAGCTCAAATGTCCAACTTCAATCCACATCAGCGGCAGCACCACTTAGACGCACACAGCTAGTAAGTGCACCTATTTATTTTTCTGTACACTACTTAAATTACTGGTAGGCTGAGCCCGAGTCATTTGAACTCTGGCCACTACCTGGATTCTTTCAGCACCAGCTGTGCAAACCCAAGCTACCAAGATTCCTCACACTACAACTACTCTAGCGCCAGGTACACTAATTTGCTGTCTGGCACCGGCTACAGCAACTCGCTGTCCGGCGCCGGCTACACTACCCATCCTCAGCAGGACTTCCCCACTCATTCTCAGCAGGACTTCCCCGCCCATTCTCAGCAGACTTCGGCCATTCTCAACAGGACTTTGGCCATTCTCAGCAGGACTTTGCATATGCTGGACCATCAGGTAAGTTCTTGCCTGCACTAACAAGTCTAGCGCTTAACCTTAACTGAACTTTCCACCATAGCGCCCAGTTGGGTCGGTGATGACGAGGAATTCCAAGCCCTTTCGGTCCCGCCACCAGATCTCCAACACTTATGGCCAATGTCGATGGGCGAGATCTCCAAGTCCCATGTGATACATGTAAGTATCATTAGTTTCTACACCATTGAAAATCAACCTGACAATACTAGACCACAGGGCCCGCAAGGACATCCAAAACACGTCATTGTGCAAGATGCATGCCCCCCACACTATGTCTTGTTATTCCCTCTGTGACACCCACAACGATGGGGACAGCGGTGGCACCTGCACCTGCAGAATCTGCTGAAAGTCCCACCACTGAGATCAGTCCCAAGACACGCAAAGAAGCGATCTCGGTCTCGAAAGAGCACATCCTATCCATTATCTTTTCCGAAGACGCATTAGCATCCCTCACAGCTGACAAAAAATGCATCGTCAAACAAGTCATTTGTGATGTGAGACCTGGAATACCAGCACTTCTCAGTATGTATCAACACACGAATACTGACTTATATTAATTCTTTGACCCTACTAGTTGCAACTCAATGGATGACTAATGACAAAGACGTCGGAAATATTTGGTGCACAGTGACAAAATTTTGCACTACGTTCACAATGATCATCCACCAAGCTGTTGTGATGGGATATTCCCTCTTCCCTCCACAGGGCTGTGATGTCCCCCCAGATACCTTTCGCGTTGATCGGGTACAGTGCCTTGTTGTAGATTATCCTTAAGTGTTCATGCATCAATACTCCTTTACTGCAGTAAGTTTTATCTATCTTTGAGAACACATTGATTTTATTTTGTTAGGACAGTGCGCTTGTCATTCACATGAAATTCAATAACCCATTCATCCTTCACATCCTGACGAAACTTATATGGTGTTCGTCCTACCACCTACACACATTTCTCGATGCATCACCATGCCACCAACTTCGTTGTGCTATTAGCATAGCCGGCAGCATTACAGAGCTTGTGTTGATGGAGCAGGGCGTGTTACAAATCGCACCGGGCAGGATTACTCCCCAGATGATGTTTCCGACATTCGAGAAGATCAATCTGAACTTTGGTCAACTCAGTGACACTGAGGAGGGCAGTTCTAGACGAGTTTACAGACAACATTGTCGTTTACGGGCGCTCGCAACAGCACACAAACATTGAATTGTCTGATTTTGAATTCGAATAAACATCATGTATACCATTAATATATTCACATTAGAGACGTTCAAAGTTGGGCGCCCACGCCCAACGCCTACACCCATGACCCCTTCGCCCACGGAACGTCACCTAAAATGTTGTTTGCATAATTAGATAATATGAACATAAATCTAAAAATTTAACAATTAGCTGTCACCTTGTACTCACTGTCACATCAATCAGATCTGCGCATATGGCGAAGAAGAAGGATAGCGGTTGTCACAATTCTGATCGTTTGGACTGACAACTTAGTCTGGCAGCTATTGGCGCAGATTGAGTTATCAGAGAACAGAGTTGTGCTTCTAGGCAAGTGGAAGAAGGGTGAGGTGAGTGAGTTAAAGTTGTTATATGATACGAGATATGATGTTTCTGTGCCAGAACACGTCAGGTGATAGCAAAGTGACAGTATATCAGCGCATGGCAGCTTCTGTTTTCCCGCAATTACACAGCCAGAATGCTGTTGCGATGGGGGACCGAGTCAAACAAAAGTACGAGTAGTGAGTGTTGTGCTTCTCTCATTATTTTCTACCTTACAAGTCCATCATGCAGCTTAACGAAAAAATACAAGGTGCATGCTCGACGTCTCTGGACAACTGGTGAAGGTGTCCAGTCTGATGCGAATGGCAACATCTCCAACAACGAATTTTTCGAATGCTATGTCCCCGCTGATGGACCTAATACAACCACAACTCCAAGGGCACAGTGTATTTGGGGTATGTTACTTATGTTTCTCAGAATAAAGCGAAAGTGGTCGGATGGAGAATTTGCATATTCCCAAGCAATGTGTAGGGTGCCAGCTTTTGCCACAGGGGAGCACTCTTGTAGATAACGAGTTTGTTGAATAGCAAGAATGCAAGATAAGTCACAGTGCAGCTGTGCTGCTGCCTCTTCGAGGGTCACTTTTGGCTGAAACAAAGTACATAGAACCATAAGCAAGAGATATGAGTGAAGGTATTGCTCACGTGATGTTCGAAAACGGGCCATTGAGTGTGATATGTGTTTTCGGACAGTGTTAAGTGTAGTCAGTTATCATTGATTATATAATACATTCGTTCAAGTACAAAACGGGAAGTGGTATATGGGCAAGGGGGGTCGTGGGCGTAGGCGTTGGGCGTGGGCGCCCAACTTTGAACGTCCCTATTAGCTAATACTACTAATATCTCACTCGTGAAAAATTCGATGCCATTTTATGTATTTGTATCATGTCCGATTCAAGAGACTAATGTTTTACTGCACCGGCAGTCCAAGAACGGTATTTTTCTCTCGGATAAGCTAAAACGTCATTTACGAACGCATGCCCTGAGCTATACCAAAAGCGAGTTGTTCAGAACAACTTTTGAACTCGCTTTTGATAGTTTGACTCTTTTAGATGCTGGTCGGCCCTTATCGGCCCTTATCCGAGTTGGGGAATTTCGGTGATGACTATCTACAGTGACGATGTGTCATACCAGGCGCTCAGATTCAGAGGGTCGGATATCCTGGGATCGAAATATTCTGCTCATTATCACTTTTGTTGAAGTTCACCTTACATAAATTTGGTACGGGCGCTGTGGTACGGTTCTGCGCACCTTCGCGTCGACTGCAAGCCAAAGCCATGAAAATCCTTTGGTGAGGTGAAGGACTTTTATGTCTGTGTGCCAGTGTCTGACAATGCGTCCCAGTAGGACCTCCCATTTCGTCCGCCCTCTACACCCCAAATGCCCCGCCGCGGCGGGCCAATCCAAAAACGACATATCGAGCACATAAAGAAGGTAATCTTTGTAGCAAGCGGAAAGGGGGTTGTGGGCAAGAGCACAATAGCAGGCACGTTTCAGCAGCAACTGAACGGAACTTTTGAATGACCGCGAATGAAGTAAATCTTGCTTTCTCCCTCGCAATGCTGTCTCATCGACCACGAGTTGGCATACTTGACTTGGACATTTTTGGACCTTCTATACCTACCTTGATGGGACTCCAGCATTCGGACGATCCACATCTAACTCCCGGTTCGTTTCCTGGCACACACCGTGAGCTTCCGGGTGACTCTGTTACTAGCTGGCGCTCTCCTCCCCATAATCAATCATGGCGTTCCTACAATGTCTATGGGCTACCTTGTCCCTCGGCCACCGCCTGACTCCACAGAATTTGAAGGTGCGATTGTCTGGCGCGGCCTTATGGTTCAAAAAGCCGTGCAGCAACCCCCCTTCGATGTTGACTGGCGGGACGCTGGTGGATCTGGTCCTGGGCTGGACGTACTAATCATAGATATGCCCCCGGGGACGGGAGATGTCCCTCTTACACTGGGACAATTAGTTGTCGTTGACGGTGTGCTTCCACGAGCTCTTCAGATGTTGTTCGCCGTCTAAAATGAAATAGGCGCAGTCATCGTTTCAACTCCACAGGACGTCGCACTAACGGATGTAAGAAGAGGAATTTCTATGTTCGAATAGATCTCCGTTCCGGTAAGTATTATACATATTGTCCTTCGACCTCACCCTCATTTTGTTCGCTGCCATCTACAGATAACAGGTCTCATCCTTAACCAAGCGTCCTTCCTATGTCCTTCTTGCAACACCGCGCATGAGCTATTTGGGACTTCAGCTAATGCATCGCGCCTTGGGATCCCTCTACTAGCGCAGCTCCCTCTTGTTGAAGGTGTGAGCTGGGGTGGAGATCGCGGCATTCCATACGTCCTTGAAGGAAAACATGGAGGTGGAAAAGACGGCAGGGCGGGAGAGATGTGGCGAAATGCGATGAACGAAGCGGCAAGCAACATTTGGGAGTTAGTTCACAGCTGAGTGAGTACTACCATGAAGGATCCTTCTGTACGTAGCTTTGCTTGCGTTTGCCTTGGAATTGCACAAGGAGCATTCTTTGGAATCATCCTCTGAGTGGGTATCGACCTGTTTCCGCTACCTTTGACGATAGACTCTACTTGCTAAACCCTCACTGCCCGTCACAGCTCTATTGCATCTGCCATGAATAAATAATTACAATACAAGAAATGAGTCCGAGTGTGCAATCGCACAATATAAACGGTTAAATGAGGACAATACTACGCAATAGACCCGTATCAACACACTGAGAATCCTCCAAAGTCCAAAAACGCCTCCTCTAGTGACATTTTTCGAACAACAAGCGCCTCGACGATGAGCCGAGGTTCTAACATTGCCGCCTCGATCTCAGCAGTAGGACATTTGGACGGAACCAACATGATCTCAGGTGGGGAGGCCAACTCGTCTGCAACGGGCTGGTGACGATATGTTTCCGCAAAAATAGAAGAGGGTGACCCAGAGCATACTTCGACATTTCGGGGGTCTATTTTGAAGATAAAAAGTCAACCACTGGAGCGTGGACAAGTGAATTTAGGCTACCTTCGAGGTGTACATCATCACGCACTGAGGTCTCGACTTCAGGAGGCGCGGACGCCACGCGTAGGTCTTCAGGCTCAAGTGTGACGTGAAAGGATTCCAGGCCTGAGACAAGCTCGCCCATTTCCTCGGGCATTAATGGTTGGAACGTGCGTGAGATGAGGATCACGCTTGGCCTCACGTCGCTTGTCTCTGGCTGTGCGGCGCTTGGATTGTTTGCTGCCAGTCGTTGAGTGGACTTGATAGCTCGGTTGGGTGTGTATGGTTGTGAACATTGGAGTGGTGCAAGTGATGCTCGGAATGTGAATTAGGCTGATTACGGGTGTGCGCAAGTAAATGCTTAGGTTTCTTGCCCTTGCCCTTGCGCCTATCCGAGTGGCCTTGCATGGTGCTCGCAACACGGCGGCGGAATGGACGAGGCTTATACACGGTCGCAATTTCGAGGTCCAGGGTAAGTGCCGCGCCGTCTGATGACTGGTCACCTTTCTCATCGTCCATGCAGAATACTTCCACATGGCTGCTTGTTGTTGCAAGATCATCGTCCGCATCAGTAGTCTCCAGTTCGGTCTCCGTAGTTGTTGTCGTCTCTGAGTCCTCGTTCATCAATTGCCTCCGTCTCCTTCGTTTGCCTCCATCCCCGCCCCAGTCTTCGACAACTCCGCTCACCCTCCGCTGGCACCTCAATCTCCCTTCACCACTATAACGCTGGCGCCAATCTCGCCAGCCATCTCTTCCAGGGTACCCAATGTTTCCTCCATCTCCCACCTCCCTAGCCCTATGAGTACGCCGGAGTCAGCCACACCAAGTTCGTAGTATGCTTGTCCACCGCCTTCCAGAAGACGCCATTTAAGTTGTGTGACAAGACGGGTGAAACGAGAGGGGGAAGGAGAAAGGAGATGAAGCTTGTACTCTACATTTCCCTGTGAGTGGTAGATACAAATGGTAGGAAAGGTATTAGCGCATGTAATGAACAGTAATAAAACGTACCTCTTCGCTTTCCGGAACCAGCTGCGGTATTCCTCGTCGAAGGATTTCGTTGTGTGTTGGTGTCGGGGGTACGGAAGTGAGTGTGTCCCATGGGGAGGGCACTCGTGGGCTTTCCGAATCAGATTCACCGAACATCCAGGACTCTGTGCACCCGTAAGCTTATAGACCTTGGAGAAATAAAGATGCAGATGAGTTGTTCAGTGTATTCGAGTGATCATCGCTTTCCGTTCGTCCTTATGAATCTTGCAATTGCCACTCGACGATCGAGCTACAGTAGTTATTAATTAAAATTAATTGAAATTAATTGAATGATTCGAGTGACTCACGATGACTTGTAACAGCAAGTATAACCTATCAAAATCAAAATGACAGAGGCCTGTTGACACGCCACGTCCCACATGTCCTTGGCACTACTACCAACACTGATCAGTATTACATTTGTGATCCTGGTTGTTAGTAATAATTTTGCATTGGACGGCCGACACACGAGTGAGTTGTTCTAAAAAGTATAACCTTAGTGATGAATCATGAAACGAGCGAGGGTTTGTATATATTAGTACTGTATATACAATACCGTGCCGGAAGAAAGATAGTTCGTCCCATCCTTGAACACTTTCACATTTCCGCTTATCCACACTGACCTTGGCCGACTGAATCTAGTCGATAATTCCGATATCACTGGTATGTATTTAATATTTGTTGCTTTGATTGAGATCACGTAGCTAAGAGTTCGTCAGGGCATCAGACTCTTGCTGATTACCCCCCTGCAATGCGCCGTGATGCGCAACGATCCTCTGCACGAAGAAAATTTCCGCAACGACTGTCTGGCATTCACCGAGCATTTCACAGCTGCCAACTACTCCTTTAGCCTTGAGCCCCCCTCGATGCGCGCGTGGAGTTGGACATCTGGACATTGTGAGCAACCAAGGGTGTGCCTGCTTCTGAATAGGCTGATCAGACCCACTGGTTCGTGAGCTGCAGCCATCGACATCAACTTCACGCCGCATTCATCCTTGTCATGAATGTATGAATGTATGGACAGTGTCATGGTAGTCGCGATACGTCCACGAGGATTGTACAAATTTCCAAGAGTGAAATCGACCAAGTACAACTACAGATACAGCTACAGGAACATAACGCGGTACGAGTTTGTTAATTCTTAACGCCAGTTGATAATGCGTGTTCTAATCATAGAACACCAGAGCTCTCAGCTCGATGGATTCCCGAGGCGGCGTTCCCTCTGGAGTGTTCGGGGTCTTGGAAGCCAGTATGAGGGGTCAACCTCGCGACACTACCATCTTGTATCGAGTCAGAGCTGAGACCATTTTAGCATGACTGAAAGCTCCCGGGTTACTTTGCTCACCATTTGATAAGAACATACTCTTCTGGGGTCATTGCCTTCATATATTTCCACTGGTGGTTTGGGTTGTATTTGACTCCAAATGTCTCACCCTCGCGGTCAGGGTATATATGAGCGACAGGCACAAAGTCTTTCTCGAAATCGACACTGCGGAAGTCGCATAGTGCAAGCGGCCCAATTCTACAGCTGCATGCGATATAGGACGCCAAAGGTTTATGATTTGGAAGCGTCTGCGAAGGAGGGAAGGAGCTTCTGTTGGCGGGAGGTGCCTATGAACACGACCAATGGACGCCGCAGGCGTTTGGGTCTGCGCGAACCCGGGAGACGGGTTGACGTTTCTGCGGGTTAAAGTTATCCATTCGCCTGGGCGACGGCGACGAATAGCTGTGACATAAATTAGGATCAAGACGTCATTTCAACTTAGTGGTCAACGTACTGTGATCGAAGATGACAATTTTGGTTGCTCCCGTGACCCTCCTGATGAGGTCGATGCTCTCAGGGTAGTATTCGCGCTCAATCTCATCATCATTCAAGAAGCTAGTAAACTTTGACGCTTCTCGCCCATACTGAAATCCAGCATTGTCAAGCTTGTAAAGTTCCTCCTTCCCGCGCACGTCCTCGACTGGCATATCATGCGGGTCCTCGACCCAGTTGCGGGCTGGCTTTCCCGTAGCGCTATCTGCATAGACTCTATTGTAAGGCCGAGAGCCGTCAGGTGGAGCGAGTAAGTAGTTGAAGATGGCAATGGTGTCAGAAGCCATAGTTAGTCCGTTGGTGTTGAATGTAAAGCGGAATGGAAGCGTCCTTGGTATCACAAGTTACATCCTACTTATATGTCCTCAAGGTCCGGGAAGCCGCTTGGCTTACATATCATAGGATGAATTCTCCTGGCTGAATATTGTCAATGTGGATGAAAATATCTCGTATGTACACATGGCTTGCATATGACGCCACCGAACTGCGGGATGAGCGGATGATCCAAAGTTGTAGAGCTTCTTATATGTCCTTACCTTAATTATTAAATCTCCCACCAAATCTCAAGCATCAGCAATCTCCATTGGGACGAGAATGATCGGTTTCGTAGCCAGTCGTAGCCTGTCGTAGCCCAAGACACCGTTGACTGCATTGAAACTGCTCTGGTATACATATGACGTGCACGGCACCAGTAATTATTAATTATTGATGATGTCGATCATTGACGTGGAAAAAAAGGGTAACACAAGTGACCCCTATAGTAGAGACTACCGGTGAAGCCTGGAAATATGTCTCTCAAAGGTCGAAGAAGACAGTAATCCTCACCAAAGGCATGATTGCCGAGCATATAGCTGCCAGGCAACAAGCTTCTAGGTAATGTCGGGTACAAGGGTGTAAAGACCATCGGCAACAAACAAAATGCCGCCATGCCAGGGTGCCTCATTGTAGGCAGGCCACAAGATCAACTTATCTATTTTTTTGCAGTCAAGGATCGACGCGAGCAGCGTAAAACTCGCACAGCAACTTGAAATGGTCACATGGAAGCATACATAGATAGTCCATGCCAAGCTCGATCGAGTTGTAGGTGCGAAACGGGTATACAGTAGTATTAATGCAACTGGGAGCCAATGCAGAGCCGCCTGCCGAATCCGGATGGCATGGATGGAGTACAATGAGGAAGTCGCACGGCATCAACATGAGCCCTATAGCTAGGCTTGAGTTGGTCGTAGAATTATGAGCAGTACTCAGTCCAATATCCCGACGAAACGTGGAGGAGAACACAATTCAGAAAGCGCACGAACCTACGCATAAATGAAGGTTCAAATGGACTGTGGACGTCTGTCCGGGTATACCTAGGTTACTGATAAGCAGTTACGAATAATAATGCTCGCAGCCAGGTCGAAAGCCACAAGCATTAATAATAACTGGCAACAGAGAGACGGCGGACCTTATGATGGATGTACACGGAGTTTCAAAACCTAACCTAACGTCCCGGGCCGGCCATTTTCGCGCTGGAGTCACCGTCGACGACGTTACTAACCTCCTCGAAGCATTCTGATCGACAAGTTCCTCGCCACCCACACAAGAGTCCTCGAGAATACAAATGCACTAGGAAGCTCAGCGCTCAACATTGGTATGTAATTTTACTCTTTTTCTATATATTCCAGCTTATGATGAGCTCATTTCATGCTCTCGACTTGTCTTGTTGCCAGCCTGGCAATCCCTCCAAGTCCATAGTGGCTCCCCTCCCGCATACGGACATCCTTGACCATCTCATACGGTAACTCATTACCACTGCCGGTCAACAATATTCTTTTTGTCACCAGCTTCCGCGTAAATGGTCTGAACAGTCGGGTGAACTGTATGTACACCTTTAGGTTGATCGAGTACAAATAATAGTATCGACTAATTTGCGCAGATTTGAGGCCTAGAATGACAGGTATTCATTTTGCTAGGTATATACGACAAAGCATACAGAAGCTCTAAGTACAGTTTAGATTTGATCCAGATAGCGATGGATCATTCAAGTAGCCTTACATATATTAAATTATAAAAGGAGAAGGAAATGACTCTAATCCACACGTGGACCCGCCAACCTCACGCTCTCTTGTACATCACCCTCGTACAATTTAAACGCCTTCTGGAACATGCCCGCGAGCTTGCGAACCTCGTGCTCGAAAGCCTGCTTGTCCGTCCAAGCCAGAGATGGGTTAAGCACTTCACGCGGAACACCATCCACTTCAGTAGGAATCTGGAGCCCGAAGACGCCGAATGGTCTCGTATTTGCTGTCGAGAAGCTCCCCAGAGTGTACGGCATCGACGATGCGACGGGTATACTTAAGTGGGCAGCGCTTTCCCAATGCCAAACTTTGCCACCTGTCCAGCCTGTGTTGATTAACCAGCAGGATACGTTGTGTTGGACATGCGTTCAGCCAGCATTTCTGCGTAGCGTCCAGGCTAAAAATGCAAGGATTAGTTCAGAGCCTCTAGAAAGAGATTGAAACACCCACGTGTAATACGATGAAAGGAGCACTGTACAGGTCGAGAATGTCGGGATTGGTTCAAGGACGCCATCTTCCGTGCCAGGTGTTTGCTACGAGCGTGACTTAACGAGTGGACAACGAAAGCAAAAATATACTCACGAGGGTAGCCAGCAAGGAAGTGATAGCTTGCTTGATCGGGGGAAAGTTTACTGACAGGCGGAAGGACACCAAACGCATCGCACGTCAACATGATAATATTGCTCGGTTGTCTGTCCACCATGCATGGATCTTGGCATTTGAATGTATTCAATCGGGTATGCGCAGCGCGTGTTCTCCGTGATGCTAACATCGTCATAATCCGGCACCCGTGTCGCAGGGTTGTACACGACATTCTCCAGAATGGAACCAAAGCGAATGGCGTTGTAAATCTCTGGCTCCTTCTCCTGCGACAAATTGATGCACTTGGCGTAGCATCCTCCCTCAATATTGAACACTCCCGTATCTGACCACACGTGTTCATCATCACCGATAGAAGGCGGTTAGGGTCAGCAGAAAGAGTTGTTTTTCCAGTTCCAGAGAGGCCAAAGAATAGAGTGACATCGCCCTTTTCCATTCCGACGTTGGCAGATGAGTGAAGGGAGAGTTGGCCAAATTTCACAGGCTGAAGGTAGTGCATGACGGAGAAGACACCCTTCTTCATCTCTCCGGCGTATTCGGTGCCGAGGATCACCATTTCCATACGTTTGAAGTTGATCTCCACCGAGGTAGTGGATGACATGCCCTTAGTGAAGCGGTTCGCAGGGAAATTGACCAGCATTGTAGATGATGAAGTCGGGCTCGCCAAAACTTGCGAGCTCTTCCTCGGTCGGGCGGATCAACATGTTGTTCTTCCGGATCGTCAGCAGAGGAAAAAAAATACGTGATAATGGTTACGCACCATGAACAGAGCATGATAAGCACGAGCACATATGAACCCGGACCTTGATACGGTATTTAGGATCCCACTGAAAACAATGAGTCGTACAAGGCGCATGCACTTGTGAGACAAGACTTACACCAGCGAAACCATCGAAGACATAGACATTGTCACGCGTATTTAAATAGTCGATAGCACGCTCACGGTTGATCTCAAACGTGTCTAAAACAGCTACTGAGACAATAATTCAATACACAATAGAAAGACACTCACGTTCATCCATCTTGATATTCACGGAGCCCCACCATATATTGTCTTTACTAGTCTCCTCAAAGACAATTCGCTTGTCTTTAGGACTTCTACCAGTCTTCTTGCCTGAGAAGTTGATGAGTGCGCCAGAAGAGGAGATGATCGCGCCTTCGTTCCGGATGGCATCTTCGTAAAGCTGAGCTACAGGCGCATTGCGTTTGAGCTGGATCCTGTCCATGTCAAACCCTGCCTGCGAGAAATACTCGAGGTCATGGCCGATGACTGTTTGAGAAAAAGTTTAGTAGATAGGAGTAAAGAAGTAGGTGCACCAACGTTTATTGTGAAATTCATTGTCAGAAGCTTGAGCGTAATGTCTGTGTAAGATATGAGGTGTGACGTAGGGTGTCTGGTGCGGATGAACCATGGTGGTAGACGGATACGAAACCTTAAAAGATGCTGGTTGATGAAATTTGAAGCCAGGTAGTGGTTTTATACCAACGGCGAGCCATTGCCGGGAATGTCCCTATCCCATAATCCCCCGATACCCTGTCACAGCGCAGGACGGGACACCGCCGGAACAAACAGGGTCAATATCACAGATGGAACAGACTTTATAATAGCATAGTCTAGGGAAAGGGAGGAAAGAGGGTACCCGTAGGCTGAGATAGCGTTCGCAAGCCAGCGTAGGCCAGTATGATATTGATCATTCAACCTTCGGGTGATGGCTTATAAACTGATATGCAGTGGCCCAAATTCAGTGTTGCGCCGACGGAGTCAGGATGCCAATATGAACATCATTTCCACGTGGTACCGCCTCAGCCCATTGGAAAGTACCAAGCCGCTGTCGGGACTTCAGTACTCAGTGGGGGCCATGTACACTGATACCGGGGGATAAATTCATTGTCAGGATCAACGTAATTTGGCTCGGCGGATGGAGTGAGTGCGAGCACAGGGTAATTTCCATACAATGGGCCATAATATATACTATGAATGGACACACTTCCCTTACGAAAGTTAAAAGCTGCTTCAGTCTGCTGGCATGGTGAAGTTTTGCGAAACCTAGGTTGTGAGTTGTACCGCAGCGCCAATTGGTAGTAAGTATATGACAAGAAATTCTGAGTTGATCAGAGTCACACGCCCGTGCCGCTATGTTTGGAACCTGGTACAAGCATACTCATTTCAGCTCACTTTCGAAACTTCTCTCCCACAAGCAAACATGCCTCCAGCTCTCTCCAATGCCGTGCGTTGCATGTCTCTGATATAAAGTATCTAATTGTATTGATAGCATCGTTACAGATGACTGTAAAGCGCATCCACAGGGAGGTCGCAGATGCCAAGAAGGAGGACCTAGGCTCCATCACCCTCGCACCCTCCACCGACAACCTCTTTCGCTGGGCAGGTACCATCCCTGGACCCCAAGGGAGCCCATATGAAGGCGGCGTGTTCAACATCAATATTCAGCTGGCGAACGACTATCCGTGAACACTTTCCCTACCCAAACTAGCGTGTTCACTAATCGTTTTGTGATAGTTTCTCGGCGCCAAAGGTCACCTTTGTAACCCGGATATACCACATGAATATATCGGACAAGGGCAACATATGCATTGATATTCTCAAACAGAACTGGTCACCTGCGTTGTCACTCTTCAAGGTCATGCTCTCCCTCTCATCCCTTCTTACCGACCCTAATCCGCGTAAGTACTATTTTCAATCTTGATCCTTTCATTGTACCTTTTGTACTTGGTTTGGACCCGCATACTTTTACCCCGTGCGTCTATTTTGGCTGACCAATGTTCTTTGTTCCTAGAAGATCCTCTTGGTAGGCTTCCCCATCATCCTGTTCTTGTCCTATTTTTCTGAACCACGATCGCTTTGTGCGCACACAGTTCCCTCGATCGCAACTGAATATATCCGGAATCGGGTACAACACGACCGCACAGCCCGGAGGTGGACAGAGCTGTATGCCCGATCACCCGCATCTGTGCCCGTACCGACTCCACCCATTGCATCCACGTCTACGTTCTCCCCCCGTGTCTCCGCACCCACATCTACATCTACGCCCACGACCTCAACCTCTACAACTCAAGCTTCCGGATCACGTCAGGGCAAATCTCGCGCCTCAACCAATCAACCTGCGCGTGGCTCGGGCTCGTCGAATGTTCTTACCGAGACAATTGATATTTCTGACTCCGATGACGAGTTATTGCGACTACCGCCCATGCACAAACGTCCACGCGGCTCTTCCAATGAAGTGGACATCGATCTTGTGGAGGTAGAGCAACGTGTAACCAAACGCCGGCGCGCAGGTGGCGGTGGAAGTGTGGTTCCGAGTGTCTCTAGAGGCACCAGAGGAAGTGGGAGTATCGTAGGAGCTGGGGAAGTCATTGTCATTGATGATTAGTACGGCGTATGAGGGCTCTTTGAATCACATGATTGGAAAACCGCCTATCACAACAACTATATGAATCTCCTTCAAAATAATCTTACCATATAAAAAGACCTCACTAGTAACACACGTATTTTATCCCTGGACCCTTTTAACTTTGAAGGGTACAGGTTTGGTTTCATTCCACCTGAGTGACATAAGAAATCAAGGTAATAAATAAACCTTGGAAGAAGGACTGATCACCTGCAAATCATGACGCATTGACGGTCCGGCAGTTTGTTTCTGCACGTCGCACGCTTGTCCTCTCAGCACCGTCTGCCCGTGCACGTACGTTCTGCACCGCCTGTTTTTTCGTCACCCTCCCACCCTTCTTCTTTCCCTTTAGTATGGATCTCCATCGTGCCTCCGACACTCGTGTCTTTTTCTCTCCTGCCTGCTGAGGTCTGCTTCTAGTTTCATTACTCATCAAAAGCACACATTATGGAGTCTCGCATCTACTTTGCCTTATGCTGCCGTGTCACGTACTACTTCTGTCTCTCGGTTCGCAATAAAACCTGTCCGAGTCCCCCGAGCACATGGAGCTGGGAGAACTCCGCTTGCCTAATGGTTGGTATCGGATGCTCGCTAGAAATTTCCGACATCTTCAATGCCCTGAAGTCTCCCACAGTACGACCACGACCTAGGGCACCCTCCGAATCCACGCTATCACTTTCCTTCAGATTTCCCTGACTCCCAAGAGGTGCTGAGTCTCAGCTAAAGAAAAGATGCAGGAATATCTTGTTTTCATCCAAGCTTTAAACATTGTCAGGACATATAGCTACTCACTTAGATAAATACTACGATGAAAACATTTCCCAGACCGTCTTATGTCTCCTTTACAAGAATCCACTTCGCAATATCACATAACTTAAATCAATACCAAGACGAAAATGGGAGTGAATAAAAACGAATCCTCCTGCTCTCTGCAGAACACTATACAACGTGTTAGCGCCACCGAGCATCTCCCGTGTTACACACCATTGCCAGTCGATATATGCACACGCTCCTGGAAAGCAATTGAGGTCAAGCCAGTTGCTGCACCAGCGTCAGCTACGAGCTTAGCGTGATGTTCTCGAATGCCAAGGATCAGGCGTGGTCCCAGCACAAACGACTGCACGACCGTCAAAATTTGAAGGAAGCCATAATAAAGCTGAGTTTCTCGGGAAAACTGGTCCTATAGCAATTATGAATCGTGGTCGCGTGCAGAGGTCAGTGGGGGGTTGGCATACCGCTGAGATCGTCGGAGACAAAATAATGAGGCTGAGGCAAGAAACAGCAACAAAACTAGCAGTTTTGATCCCTCAGCGGATAAAGGGGACCACATTCACAATATGAGCTCACCTCGCAAAGTAAAACACGTGAGTTTTCATCAACACCGTAAAATAGTTCCCGAAAATCCCTCCTGCCGAATGTCGTCGCAGCCCACGGAAGTGCTTTACAGCAATCCAAGCTGCGAGACACAGTACGAGGACCTCCCACACAGTGCTGAGTATCCAAGTGATGGAATCCAGAAGTATGACATCTTCTGCAAAGCCGATCGAGCACTGGTAGGTGCCAGAGAGAATGAGCTCCTCTGGTATTCAATGAGACGCACATTTTTTGTCGTCCACAATTAAGCGTACCTCCTGAAGAATGCGTCGTCGAAATTATACCGAGCGCTCCATTGATAATATTGACGATCAGGAAGGTGACAATGAGAAAAATCTGGATCTTTCTGGATCCTTGATACATGGCTTGTAACCGAGTGATGATGATGACTTAGTCTAGTCAATATCACTGAGGTCCTGCAAGTGCCAAGCTCACCCCACAGCATTGCAAATACCATAAAACCCGTCCAATTCCATACGACGTACATAATAAAGCCTGACAGATCGAGTTAGTGAGCAGCCTCAGATAGCACACACTCCAGACAGACTCACATCTGCAGTGTGGCAGTCATTAGTGAACCAAGAAGTTAGTAAAGGATCACACCAACTCCTACAGGGTGCTGCCGTTAATTGGAGGGAATGGCAGGCATTGATGCAGAAGACTCACTGCATCTGTCACCGAAATCGTCGGAATACCACCTGTACGCCGCCGGTCAGAAGAAGCAAAGACATAGAATCTAAGAAGACATACTCATCATGTCCAAGCTAATTGTGAGAAATGATGCATCAGTACAAGGACAGTGCTGAACCTTCCAAACATACACGGCAGATATTATTCCAATATAGCGCACCTAGGATACTTTCAAGTCAGTACAACATGTCAACTGTGACAGGCAAGCTACATACACTGAGATACAGAACTGTCATTAGGGACCAGCGTTGCCTCTGGAATTAAGGGTATTATGTGTGTTCTCTAACATGAGACTCTACTCACCCAGACCAGTTCAACCTGTAAAACCATTCTTAGTAAGATGGCTATTCTAGTCATAGTATCAACATACCTCTTGGCCGAAAGTAAGTGCTGGAAATATTTGTAGGTTATCAGCAATTCTTTAATATTATCATGCTCACCCCAATCATACACCACTACGACGAAGGAGGCAACTACGAAACCGCAGTCAAGGTTAGATCGAGACATTGTCAGCATCAATATCCGACTGCTCGCCACGAACCTACAGAATAGCTTAAAACACGATATGAATTGATGGACGGCCACCAAGTAGGATCATTTGAGATGATGACCATATTAGTAGAGAATGAGGGTGAGGGTGAGATAGTATAAAGGTGCGTCACAACCGCGTCCGACTCATGGCGCCGGACCGCGGCAGGACCTCGTCCGAGTCATAATACCCGGATTGTCGGACCCCGTAAACCCTGTTCGACTACTACCGTGACGCTTCTTAGCAGAACGCGTCACCCTACGCATTCGATATATTGTCTGTAATCTTGAAACATGGTGAGCTCCTTCAGCAAAGATGCATCCATGATTGACCTGTATTTTAGGAAATTGATCCTCTGGCCGATGCCCTTCCGCCACGTTACGCCATCGAGTCCGATGACGAGGACGAATACAACCCACTAACCACCGGACGAGCTGATCAGGTTCCGATTATAAACATCGAAATCGAGGGCCAATTCACCACTGGCTGTCCCCTTGTCATCGCATCAGGCCCTGCAGGAGACTTTTGGGCTAATGGCGCAAACCTAGGTGAACAGCAGGGTGCAATATTCGTCAACAATATTCAGGTTAGTGCATGCTCTAGGCTCTTTAATGTACGGACACAGATCAAGTATTACAGGCGGGACTGCTTTTTAAGCCCTCATCAACCCGCGCGGTTGTACTGGTGTCCGAGGCTACTACGGCGTTGCCGTTATGGTCCATGAACAAGTATGTGAATGATATCCTGAATCGCCTCCAACCGTCCGCGTGAGTACTCTGTCTGCTGCTGTGAACAAAGCCGACCGTTTCAACCTTTCAGCATTTCCATCCTTGATGTGTATTCCGTACAAAACTACATTTCATCAGAGCCCTTGCCAGTGTATGAGGCACCCGTTCGCTATTTGTCTCTACGGAACATATACCTGGTATGCATAGCATCCATATTAAGTGAACTTCTGACCGAATTATTTCTAGGATCCCTTCCAAAGTTTTGCGCCTCCAAATATTCTTCAGTCGACTTCGGCAGCATTTATGTCTGCGATGAACATACGCACTCTATCTTCGTCCCATCAAAGTAATGCAGTGATATTACTCCTTCCATCACCAGAGATACCCCGCACCGCGCCATCCAAACTATCAAGTAGTAAACTTTCACGACCGTCGGGGGATCAAGCATGGTCTGTTGAAATGATGGTGGAAGTAGATAAAAAGCTGTTTGGGGTGGTTGATGCGAAACGATCCGGTACTTGGGCACTCAGAAGTACGCCTGCAGGGAGTACATTTGGTTCGTCAAAAAAGAGGAATCTTGCGGAGGTTGGTGAGGGCAGCATGTACATATAACTGTTAAAAGTCCAGGAAGTAGGTATTCAGTACTGCGCAAATGAAAAGGAAAGTTGGTTCATATCTTCAGTGTCTGTGATGGTTCACAGACACTGATGACATGAAGGCTAAACTTTCCTGCAGTCGATGATTATATAAGCCATCATGTACTGGTGAACCCAACTTGTGTTTGATGGCATCGACAGAGCAGCCATGGTGAGTCTCACGTTTAAACATTTATACGCGCCAACTTTAACCGATTCTTACAGAGTGACAATGCAGGTCCGCTATTCCGCGCTATCTAGCTAGCATATCGCGGACTGATCGCTTAACAGAGTATAAGGAGGCCTTTGCGCTCTTCGACAAGAAGGGCACAGGCGCTGTTCCACGAGAGACATTGGGCGATCTCCTCCGTGCCCTCGGCCAGAACCCAACCCAGGCTGAAGTGACCGAGATCATTGCGAATGCACCACGAGAAGGTCAGTTGGATGCCTTTGATTGATGTTGGTAATGTAATAATTTACGTCGGGGCAGTTGACTACAAGACATTTTTGACAATCCTCAATAGACCAGATGGATTCAAGCCTGCAGGAACACCTGGTACGTTTTACATCGTTCGTTGTAGCATAACAATCCGTTGATCGTTATGCAGAGGAGTTCATCCGAGGATTCCAGGTGTTTGATAAAGAGGGAAACGGTTTCATTGGGGCTGGAGAGCTGAGATATGTGCTGACGCAACTCGGCGAGAAGATGTCTGACGAGGAGGTCGATGAATTGCTCAAGGGTGTTCAGATCGGCCCGTAAGCAGCCAATGTCTATTTGCTGTCGTACACGACTAACCACTTAATTCAGCGACGGAAACGTGAACTACGAATCATTTGTGCGCACAATACTTAGTCAATGATCACAACACCTTGTCTTCCAGTCAATACCTGGACCTCACTCTGTATCTATTCTATATGTCCATCCATAAAGATAAATAACAACAAAATGCATTATGACAAGAGTTCTAATCACTTTCTGACTCGTACTCGTCGTCAGAGATCTGACTATTAACGGACTCACGTCCAGTGATTAATTCCATGACAATTTGTTCTCCATCTCTCAGTCCTGTCTCTGTCAAAGACGCATTCGCCTTCCACCTGAATTCCCTCCGGGGGTATGTTGAAGCGAGTGTAAAGCCCCACCACGCGTGTCCTGCTGTCCTGTTCTGGACATAAGAATCAAGCTGTGGGATATCATCGATAGCCCCCTCCGGTGCTTGGGAAGGGTCATCTTCCGAGCGAGAAGTGGACGGGATAAGCTGCGAGTCGGCAAAGGCATAGAGAGCAGTAAGGGTCGCCGACGGAGGAAAACTACGGACAACTCGTCCATTGCCGGGCAGTTTGACGGCCAATCTCAAGCCGCGTGCCTCGGGTAACAGGAGACGGTTGCGCATGAACTTCCTCCATTCCATACGTATTTCGGCTTGATGCTTCTGCCTAGCCGAATCTTCCTGCTTTCTTCTTGCGTCTTCCGCTTGTTTTCGTACACGTTCTTCCTCCTCTTTCTCTTGCCGCACTCTCATCTCGATGGCCTCACGATCTCTACGAGCCGTCTCCCTGAACGCGCGATCCTGCTCCTCACGTATACGCCGGTCACGGTCACGGTCTTGTAACACTGTCTTGAATCGTACAAGAAATGGTGTTACACGTGGAAGTAGCTGCATATTGAGATGGTCGATCAATACTGGAGCAGTTGCGGCTGCACGACCCTGGTGACGTGATAGGATGGTGACAACCGGGGCAGTACCAGAAGGAGCACCATGGCGCCTGGGCTGAAGCGCAAGGAAAGCCACAAAGGGATATGTAGTAGCTTGCAATTTTTGCGAGGCTGGACAAGGTTTTATCATTGTAAAAGGTATATTAAATGCAACATACCATCCCATGCAGCTTTGTCCCGAATATCCCCGCCCCAGACAATGAAATCATTATCCAGCAAAATCTTGACGAAAGCTGCGTCGGTAAGGGTAGACCTGTGCTCAAAGAACAATATGACACATCGTACATCGTGTACAGGTGAACGATTACGTACCTCTTAAAATCTGCATCATCGTCGTGTTCAGCGCTCACGAGGACAACACATGCTATACGCCCTTCTTTCTGGCAAATGTCAAGGACCTCTTCATAACTGCCATCAAAGAAGTCTGGCAGAATCTTCTGATTATCATCCGAAGCCGCAGGTGGATATGTATGACGTCTCGTAGTTGATGGTCCTGCTTCGAATCCTGTCGTGACCGCGTTCGCCATGGAACGTTTCGACGAGCATGCACCTGTTTCTTCCTCGAGTTGTTGCACCCACCTCTGGGTGATGCTTCGTGAATCCGGAGAGGTGGGGCGGTGAGAATGATAGGAATTTATAGTCATGAATGGTAGGGACGGTATTGGTATGCGGAGAACGCTAAACACGAAGCGCAGCACTCCCGACACGAGATGCAATGGAACAGTGATTAGAGACCATAAAAAACTCCAATTGGACCGCGGGTTCTGCAAGAGGTATCATTATCCATAGACAGCTAGAAAATTGAATGTTCGTACACCCTGACCACGGTGAGAATGTCTAATTGTGGATGACGAGTCTTCGATGTCATCCAGCTCCAACTGTTCCATTGGAGTGGCCTGTGTTGGCGCCATGACTTTAGGGGCATCATTGTCGAACAGGAGGTCTGTGGCTTTCTGCGGACCCGCGTTCAACCGCGAAGCACGGTAGGTTATAAGTCAATACTCACTTGAACATCCCATGAGACACTTTCAAGTACACTAACTACGAATTCTGTGTCATGTGGACCAAGGATACTCTGTAGCTGTTGTAACGCTTCAATTTGAGGGCCTTGTAGTCCGTCCATAGAGAAAGTGAAAGAGCAAGAGCACGCGGCAAGCTTGCTTGTTTTGCAACCCCTACTAAATGGTCACGTGAAACTAGCTTTTTTCATTGCGATCATACTGACAGCGGCCGCAGGCCTTGCAAGGTCTCAGACTCTACCGCGACGATCATCAAAAGATCACCAATACATGCCAGTGAGATGAGCCAAGTCGAATCTGAAGATACTAATCGCCACGGCAGAGAGGGTATGTTTCACCTCATAGTAAATGTGGTCTGAACTTATGTGATGTCCAAAGAACCTCTTACTGGCCATGAATTAAGAGATATCAAGGATGCAGCTGATCTTTATCAGTCTGGCTCATTCAAGCTTCAGGTTTAGCTAGATCATTCTAGTGATGACTCGTCAAGCTCACCTTTTTTCAGATTGATGCACTCCTCCCCAATGTCCGACCTAAAGAGTCTGGTCGACAACAGCTTGAGCGTTTTCTTTTTGCTCTGCACACCCACTGCATCTCTATTCCTTCTATTGAACCTCTGAATCCTTTGGCAGCTGCAAAAGTCCTTGCAAAACAAGGTGTCGCAGTTCCGTTTGCGTTTCCTCTCCCGTCTCGAGATGTCAAATGGAAAGTTGCATTCGAGCCTCCAAGGGAAATCTGTATTGTTGGAAGTTGGGGAAACGGAATCACTGTAAAAAAGCAGAGTGGCAGTCGGTTTGGCGTTGACCTGTCTGTGGAGATGCCCGAGGTGCGCTGCTTTGCTCCGTCGTCTTCGTTACTACTGAAGGACGTATCGCAGACTCTTTTTCAAGAAAAAGATTACCTTGATGGGCGCTTCTTCCACAAGAAGTCCTACTACCTTGCTGTTTTAGCTCAATCCATTTCAACCGCTTTTGATGTGGAGACCTTTTACTCATCTGTGCATGGAGACCCTCGCCTCACTACGTTGGTTCTTAGGCCACGGAATGGTATAATTCTTCATTTTGATATCAGCAAGATAACTGACGTCTTTACAAGGGAGTACATCTCATGATTTTTCCAAAAGTCATGCTGAAGTTCATGTTATCCCTGTTCTTTCATCATCGAGTCCATTATCGCCGTCAAGGCTCTTCCCATCGCATTCGAATGTCCGCACGCCTTCGTCCTCGTCCCTACCACCTTTCCCTACTCCAATCTACAACAACGCCATCCTTCTTTCCACATATGCAAACGAAGCCCTCAAGTCTACTCATGGACTCAAAAATGCACTGCCAGCCTTTCATGACACTTACACCCTTTTAAGAGTGTGGGCTAACCAGCGAGGTTATGGCGACGGTGAATTGTGTGTGAGAGGCTTCGAGGGAAAAGGCTCGTTTTGGGCAGGACTACTACGTTATTTGATTTCGGGTGAGGAGCTTGTTGGTACGAAGAACGGGAGCGCAAAATTGAGGAAGCCGTTGGGAAAGGGATTAAGTTCTTATCAGTTGTTCAAAGCTGCGCTCGATTTTTTTGGTGAATTCTTCGTTCTCCCCTTTCATGAGATTGACTGATAGGGAGTTTAGCAAAGCAGAAGTTCGGCGAGACTCCAGTGTTCACAAAGACGATTAATGGACATAGGGTACGTCTCTGTACACGGACATGGAACTTGCCCATCGATGTTTCTTTCTAGTGCCCTCCAGAGGAGTACATTACTCACCACCCAGCTGTATTTGTGGATGCAACATCTACTATTAACTTTTTGTCTGATGTTCCTCTCACCTCACTTGACTTGGTGAGCTTCGCTGCCAGCATTTGTAAATACATGCCGCTGACTGTCAATCGTCAAGCTAAGTCACGATGCTAAGGAGACCCTGGAGCAATTAACCAACCCTAGTACATCTTCTGACACGTTTGCTGACTGTTTCCTGAAAAATCGGTTCAGACTCTCCTCTCGTTTTGATGCGGTGATCAGGCAAGTGTTTTCTTTGTTCTTGTGGATTCCACACTCAAACGTTTTCAGAGTGGATTTGTCGCAAGCTTCTCGGAACCAGTCTACTTCGGCTCTTGTAGAACATGGGTCTTCTGATGCAGCCCTTCTGGCCTCTATCTCATCCACCCTGCGCCGAGGTCTTGGCAATCGCACCCAAGCGATAGCCATCCTCCAGCCTGTCACCCCTTGCCGCCCCATATCCTCCGCAGAAAGCCCCAGCACGTCCACGGTCCACATTGGGCTTGTTTATGATCCTACCCATGCTTTCCGTCTTGTTGACCACGGACCTTCTGCGGAAGACCAAGACGCAAACATTACGAAAGAATTTCGGCATCTATGGGGCAGCCGTGCTGAGCTTCGTCGATTCAAGGACGGTCGTATCACGGAGAGTGTAGTTTGGGAAGTTACGACGTCCGATGAGCGTGCTCATATACCGGTTTCCATCGTCCAACATTTACTGCAACTCCATTTTGGCATTTCTGCCAAATATGTGAGAACGTTGCAGACGCCATTCGACAGCATACTCCGATTACCAGACGATGTCCGTCGTTTACATCGAGTTACGGGTGGGTATAAGGCTGCATTAACAGCATTCGATGGTATCGTCAGGAACCTGAAAGCACTGGACGAGCAGCTACCACTGGCACTACTGAACGTCAGCCCCATATCTGAATACCTACGGTATACCTCAACATTTGCTCCACTACCGATCCCTGCCTCGGCTTCAACGGAATTACCGGAGTCCCTGCGTTTTCTCCCAACTATCCCCATCATCCTTGAATTCGAGAAGTCATCCAAGTGGCCGGATGACTTGAAAGCAATTCAGAAAATCAAACTCGCTTTCTTTGAAATCATCGCGCAGTCACTTATGACTTCAAACCCCGGACTCAAGGCGTCAGTTGCTATCGGCGATAGCACAAATCCATTTCAAGGATGCGCGGCACTAGAAATATTCACTGCTGAAGGCTGGTCATTCTCTGCGTTCATTTGGCACGATCGAGAGGCGACTTTGCTTGACCGAATTATTGACCCTAGCAAGATGTTCGTTGACTCCAGCAATCAACAATACAACGCGCGAGAACAACGCGAAGCCAAGGTCGCCAAGGAACTCTACACCCGGCGATTCATCCATGCTCCACGACACCATCGTGCCATCGCTAATCTTTGCCACAAGTACAGCGCATACTCTGGCACCGTCCGCCTTGTTAAGCGCTGGCTTGCTGCACATTGGCTTTTGCAAACCCACGTCTCAGAGGAGGCCATCGAGATCATTTGTGCGCTACCATTCGTCGGTGGAAAACAGAAATCGACAGAGAGCCCTGCTACTGTACCTCATAGTAAAGAACGTGGTTTCTCCCTCGTTTTAGAATTCTTAACAAATTGGAAGTGGGAGGAGCCACTTTGTCTTCCGTTGTATGAGGATGATCCCCCAGCAGCGGCACCTGAAGTGTGGACGTCAAATGGTCCAGATGCAGTTGTTGTTCGCCGTCTTCGCGCAATTGCTAAGGAGGCCAGCAAAGCACTCCGTAATGCGGAGACAAAAATGGATATCAAGGTTGATTGACAGACTTGCATGTGATGACATAGCTGACGTTGTACTTCAGAATCTCTTCTTACATTCCACTGACGATTACGATATCGTTATCCAACTAAACCCCGCAGTTCTACCAAGGTACTACCAAAACGTCAACGCGGAATCGAGTGTTTGGACTAGAGACTCTCATCTGGGCATAACGGAGTCGACGCCTCGCCCAGGATTTGATCCTCTTCCCCTGTTTCTCGCCGATCTGCAGGTATGTCTCGCGTATGAACGGAATGTTCCATTGACAATTCTTCCGGTCCAGAGCACGTTCGCTGATACACTAAAATTCTTTGCTGACCCCTTGGGAGGTGATCGCATTGGAGCAATTTGGCTTCCGGGTCTGGAATCACCGCGTTCCTTCCGTGCACTAGGTGGTTTCTCGAGTAAGCCATTGCTCAAGGTATGTCGGACCCATTGAACCATCTGTATCTCAACCAATATTTGATAGGGGGATAAAGCGAAGGACAAGGAACATGTCATGTTAAATCGACAGGCAGTTCTGGACGACATAGGGCGATTAGGAACAGGTTTGGTTCAGAAAATTATCGTACATGTACATGAACGCGTGTAGTCATATGCACACGTCATGTATAAACAATTCAGCGAAAGCGGCAATCCTACAATATCACGGCCTCAACAAGAACAAAAACCTGGAGACCAGAGGGGGTATGGTCATTTGTGTCGAATCGGCTGTCTGCCTCATTTACTGGCTTTCGTCTGAAAGGTCATCGATACTGATTAGATTACTAATTGGAATACAGTCCGAATCTACAAGGGAGCTCCTTTGTCTTTGAACCTGACCGTGTCGGAGGTGAGACTTCCCGGTGGTAGTACTTGCCTCGGAGGGCTACATCACCGACCTCAGATCTTCCAGACCTACATGTCCTTCATCATGCCTGAACGTTTCTCGATCACGAGTGCTAGTTTAGCCACTGTGTACTCGCTCAGTGCGTTTGCCTTTTGTAGGTTATTTCTCTATGGAGGTCTATATCCAGCACGTAGTAATTGGTGCATAGTGCTGCCTAGCATCAGGTAGTATAACACTTTGAAAGTGTCCGTCTGGCGTCTCATTGCCTCTACACTTCTTCGCTGGCGCGCACAGTCAGGCTGTTCCACTATACCCTCAACATTATATGTGCGTAGTACCTGCAAGACCCCTCTTTGTTACACATAACTGTGAGTTGACTCGCGTATACATTCGGGCTCTTGGAAAGCAATTGTAGTCAAAGCAGTTCCTTCCGAGTCAGAGTCGGCCAGAAGCTGGGCGTGATATGCTCGAACGCTGAGGATGAGGCGTGGTCCAAGCACACACAACTCCATGATGACAGCGATTTGATCCAGACCATTGTACTCGTTAACTCCCGCAGAAGCGAAATTCTATAGAAATAATGACGAGTGGTAAGATCCAGATGTCAGTTACAGATTGTACGTACCGACATATTTGGGGACAGGCTGCCGAATCCGAAACAAGAGACAACAACAAAGCTAAAAATAAG